TACTTTAATTTTTTTAGGATCTATAGCTAATCCTATAGTAGTAATTATATAGCCTAGGAAAATAACCTTATCTATGTGGAAGTTACACTTCTCTAGTTTAAGTAATAGGTAAGCGTCCTCTAGCCTCTAAAGAATAGCTATAACGTCCTTCATATGTTACTCCTCTAATTTAGAGTAAACTAGTATATTATCTAAATAGTATATACACATTACGTCTAAGTAAAGCTGTAAAACGTTATTAATCAGACGCTAAAATATGGCTAGTGCGTTAGTTAAGCTAAAAAGTATAACTATATACTTATAGTAACTAAAATAAGTATAAAATACTATCTTTTCTTCTTCTCCCTTAGCTATTCTAATAAAGTTATATACTCCTTATAAGTTAAGCTAAGTGAAAATCTTAGCTCTAACGAGTCTATCCTATAGCTCTTTAGCTAATAGTAGTATATAACAATCCTTTTTTATAGCGTTATTTAATTAATAGTAGTTAATATATATTTGTTATCTACTATCTTTCTTTTCTACGAATAAGATATTACTCCCCTACGGAGATTTAGACTCTTAGATAAATCCCTTCACTAAGTTTTCATTAATATATTACTTAATTATTATTAAGTTTATTACTAAATATTCCCTAAGTAATTAGAATATCAGTTTAGTACTTAGTTCTAACTCGATCTAATAATCATAATCCTAGTGTTTTAGTAAGGCCTCGATACCTTATTCCTCCTTAAATAGTACTATAAACTTCTTATATACTAATAGTATATCCTTTATTAGTAGACCCTTATCTTAGTATCTGAGCTCTTCCTTAGAGGTAGTACTAATCTCTCGAATACTTACTACTTCTATTCCTAGTAGATAATAGTAATCTTAGTAATAACTAAACTTAAGCTTTCTTATCTACTAATTAATAATAGAATTATACTTTTCTATCTATAATAATCTTAGGATAATATTATACTTTCTAATCCTAACGATATCGAATTAGATTATTTTAGAGTATCTAGTGATACTTATATAAACTAGAGTAGTTTAGACCTTAATTAGTCTATCGGAGGTAATCTTACTATCCGCTAGTACTAGATAGTATCCCTTATCCTTTACTTTAGTTAACAAGTAGTGCTCAAGTATAATAGTAGAAGATATAAAGTTCCCTTATACTCTAGAGTCTACTATCACCTAAAGCTTAACTCTCTTAATTTTAACCTCTAACATGAGATATTTATCTCTAATAGTAGTAAGTTACTATATATAGAAATATTCCTAATATATACTATAATCGAGAACACTTTCCTATACCTTTCGATTACTATAGCTTAAGCTGACTTTATATATAAGCCTTATTCCGAGTTTAGTGTATATTACTAGGTTATATATCTCGTAATAGTACTAGCTGTTATTATTAATATAGACCTATATCCTATTATATCGGTTCTTAGCTATAATTTCCTATTCCTTACTTACCTTTAATAGCGCGCTAGTATTAAGAATAATAGTATTCTGGAGTAGTAAGTACTATATAAAAGTCGTTAGTCCTTCTTAGCTACTAGCTATTCTCTATCTAATACGCTTATAGTCCCAGTAAACTACTTTATACCTTACCCTTTATAGTAGACCCCCTAAGCTAATAAGGCCTAGTTCTTAATAAGTAACCCCGGTAGCTATATTAGTCTAGTAATAAGTATTATAGCTAACTTAATATAAGCTCTCTTCTCTTTAAGTAACTTCCTAAGTTTCACTTACTCTTAGTCCTAAGAGTTTAAGTTAAAGTAGCTTTAGTTCTAGAGTCTACTCGAGTTCTTAAGCCTTCTCCTTACTATTACTTAGTATTAGCTCTATATTATTATCTAGCCTAGAGCTATTGTTATCTTAATATATATAGTCCTTAGGAGATATACTAATAATAATCTACTTAAGCTGATTTATAACACTCGCGGAATCTCACTTATTATTATTAGAATCGCTTAACTAAGTATAGATATAATTCTCCTTAAGCTTATCTATAGTTATATATTAATATATTATAGCGAGTTATTATATTAGTTTATTATAAGAGCTACGTTCTATTATATTAGTATATTTCTTATCTATCTATAACTTCTTTTATTAATAAGAGCTAGCTATATAACTAGGGAAGCTATACTTAAAGTATAGCTTCTTCTCTTATCGCTCGCTTATAACTTTCTTAGATAGCTTACTACTATATAGCTTTCCTTAATAACTTAGCTTCCGGAATATTATATTAAGTTCTATTTCCTAAGGGTAGAATAGTTTCTTATTATTACTCCCTCTTCCTTAGTATATATATATTCTAAAGTAGTATTAATCTTTCTTCTTAAGTACTCTCTTATAGTTTCAGTTATTAATTTTAATAGCTATTTTAATAAGTTCTTATAAGTTAATAAGCGTATCCGATCTTACTATCTTATCTTTCACTTTATCTTTTAACCCTTTATAGTACTATACCTAAAGGGCGTTATTATTCTAGCTAATCTAATTCGCGAATTACTAGAAAGCAGTAGTATATATAGTTACTAACCTGACCTACTTTAAGTTCTAGATATTCTATTTAGTAGTATAGTTCTAATTAATATTACCGAAGATATAGTTAATCCTATACTCGAAACCCTTGAAAGTTATAAAGATCTTCTAGGATTCCTTAGTTATTACTATAGAGACTCTCTTATCCTTAGTCCGGTTCTAAATATAGTCTAAGAGGAAGGTCTTAATCTAGTTAAAAGTAGATCCCCGGAGGAAAGATAAAGCTTAAAGGACTTTATTAATCTTCGTAGCGAACTAGTAACTATTAAAGCCTATATAGAGCTTAACTTACGTAAGGTATACTCTAAGCTTAGATCAGTCTCTGTAGTAAAGATCTAAGGCAGCGATCTTAGGTATATTTTTTAGGTTAAAGATCTTAGCAGGAGCTAAGTAATTATTCGACGATCCTTTAATAAAGGATATATTATCTTCATAAGTTAGTACCTCTAATAAGAAGGTGCTTAAAATATAATAATCCGGTATTTACTCGCTATAAATACAAAAGGCTATAGTTAATCTCTAATAATTAAGAGGTAAGTATATTATATAGATAGGAAGATAGTTACTAAGTATTAGAATACTATTTAAAGTTAAGTATAAAGCTCTTATCTAATAGTAGATATACTAGTCTTATATAGAACCTTTATTCGCCTTAGATCCCTTAGGATACTAGATCCTTAGATCCTTAGATCCGTTTTTCTATAAGGGGATCTAGGGATCTAGGGATCTATCACGTGACCTATTATCTACTATGATCTAAGTAACTATTATTACTAAAGCGTGAGTATATAGTAATACTACTCGCTATCCTATATTATTCCCTAGCTAGTACTACCCTATCGATAGTACCGCTCCCTTATTAGTACTAATACCCCTATAGTACCACTGATAGTTTTATTATTATATAGGTGCTAACTGAACTGTAGCGCCAAGGGGTCCGTAACATTATATTAATAGCAGATCTATAAGAGTCGAGTTTATTTTATAATAGTAGTTTAAAGGTAAAGGAAGTATTATTTACTTTAAAATCGTTCTTTTATTAAGTTATACTTTTAATTATAGCTTTAGTAGCCTCTTACTTTGATTTTACTATTAGAACCTTTATAAAACAAGAATACGATATTAATATAGTTAAAGATATATCGATTTTAAAGGTAATAGAGTTTAAAATAAAAGGTAGTGTTTTAAAGATAATTTAAAAGCAATTAAAGTTATTTAAGAAGTAGTATAATCAATAGGCTCTTATTTAGGAAAATAACGAACTTAATAAAGGCAAAGATAAGGGTAACGATAGAGAACATAAGAAGTAAGTTTTAGTAGTATTTATAGCTATAGTTTTTATGTAGTTTTTATTTAATTAACCTTTATTTTATATCAACTTCGTCACTTTTTTTAATTAGTATGCTTTAATAGTCTAAATAACGAAAGTAGCCTTTAGCTTTACGTTCAGTATTAACTCCCACTTTAACTAACCTTACAGCTGTTATTAAAAAGCCTTTAAATTCCTCTTAAGTATACTCACTTTAACGCTAGTGTCTTTTAATCTATGATTTTAAGTCTATAAAGCTCTCTTTAATAGGGTTGAAAAAGGGGTAATATAAAGGGAGATATTCAAGTTAAAGACTAAAGGCTATATAAAGAGCTAATACTTAAAAGTTACTATAGATTAACACGTTATTTATTATTACTACTTTAATTTTAAACTTTATATATTTAAGTAAGATACTCTTTTTTAGTTATTTAGTGAAGATTTCAGCTGTAATTAAGCCTTAATATATTAACAGCTAATAATAACTATAAAGTAAGTATGTAAAGAGAATTAACTACTTTATTAACTGTTTAAGTATTCTTTAAACCTTTATAAAAGCTCTCTTAAGAGCCTATCCTTTACGCTTATCTGTTATACGCTTATTATAGGCTAATTTATTAATAAAGCATAAGTCTTAAGCCTTTTAAAACACTATCTTTTGCCTTTAAGCTGTGATTAATTCGTCGTTTTTTTAACTTATAGAGACTTTAAGTACTTTTTTAGTATAATTAAGCCTTTAAAGAGCCTTAAAGACTTAATTAATTAACACGTCAACTTTATAAGCCTTTTATAGATACGCTGTAATTTTGTCTTAATATAAATCTAGCTCTCTCTTAAGTAACGCCTTAATATATTTGCTTATATCGTTAGTAAAAATAAGTAAAGGGTTATAGTGACGATATTTTAAAAGTGATATCTGACGATTTAAAGTTTGTTTTTACTTGTATATTATCTTATATATTGTTTTAAACTCTTTAGTAAGAGTTTATAGGTTAATATTAACTTTATAAGATAATATTTAGTTGATATTTGATGCTTTTTAAGCTAGCAGGTTTAAAGCTATGATATTAAACAGCTTATAAGCTTAAGTTTGAATATTTAAAGTAAGAGCTTTAAAATAACCTAATTTTAAAGAAAATTAATAGAGATTTGATAGAGTTGTAAAGGTTATAATTTTAAGTTATTATATTTTAGTAGGGTCTATAATAAAAGTCAGTAAGTCGGCGTTATTTACTAAAGAATCACGCTAAACTGAAGAATAGCTTATACAAGACTGTGAGGATTTAGGGGTCACAGCTGCCAACGAAAGCTATCGACGCCACAAAGTGTCTGCCTGCGCACATTGGCAGATTGATTACCTTTCTCCTTCTCAATGATGAATTCTTCTCGGACTCTGTGACGAGTTCAGTCTTGCAGCAAACGGTGCTCCTAGATACTTCAGCTCGGTGGAGGCGAAGCTGCAAGGCTAGCCAGCTCAGTACCGCAAAGATGCTCCTCCGATTGAAGTCATTGATCGTCCTTGCTTTTATGCTGCTAGCACTTTACCTGGTCCTCTGGCGCGATGACACACCCTTCACATCGGGTGAGCATCCCGTGGATGTTCTGCATGGAAACAATGGAGAAATGAAGGACGAGGGGGGGTTGGAGGTTGCACCAATACTGGACGATATCCCTCTCTTGCTTGCGACAACGAAAGAGTCAAGACCAACCCAAAGTTATGCTCATATATACTCGACAAGTGTGGGTTCTGCATCTGCAAAGTATCTCCTTCCTACATCAAGCGTACGGAAAAGACCAAGCACAACGGTTCCCACGCTTCAGAGTTCTTCAACAAACGAGGCCAGCAATACGATTGAGAAGGGCAGCTCGCAATTACAGGAGCAATTCCAGCAGGAAAATGATGCATTAAGCTTGTATATAACTCTCCTCAAAGTACATGACTTCAGCTAAAGAGAAAACAGAGGCGAAACCACTGGCATATTATATGGCAAGACACTTAGTCGGCTGGTCGACGTTGGAGCTCACGAGGGTTTTAATGCAGCACACCTGACACCCACCAAGTCTCTGACTGCTTTCCACGATACCCCTCCTTATACATACAATCCCTATCCCGACTACAATAGCAAGAGTTGGAGCTCTGGTAATCAGGGCGTGTACCGGGCATGTAATGGACCGGAAGGGCCGATCAAGGACTGGACAGTGTTCTCTGGGCACCCAAAGGTTTTTGGGTACCCCCACATAGGATCTTATGTGCCTTTCGATATTGACAGCAACCTCTGCTTTGAGAGGGAGACTCGCCTGGGGCCTTATGGCTTTCAGGAAACAGACGCCTTGGGAGTTGGCAACAGCTCCTTCAACACAGAGAGAAAACGGAGTATCGATTGGGATTCTATTGATTGGGGGTTTTTACAACACGATTGTCTCCGAGAGAACTCAGATCGGTTCGCAGACATCGAAGAAGACAAGCGTGAAACAGGAACACCTCTTATTGGCATGAACTCGTCCAATTCCTCGAATAGCACAACCATTCTTCGGAGATTAGAGAAGGTCAACGACACGATTAGCGAGGAGGGGACGGTTAGCCAAGGAGGAGCCAACGATAATGACTCCGGACCAGCTTTACACGGAATGCCAGAGTTTACAATCACTCCAAAGTCCCGGACAGCCGTTCTAATTCGCACTCACTCAAATCAGACCTACACGGAAAATGACAAGCAAAACATTCGATCTCTCATCACAGAGCTCTGTCTTCGAAGTGGAGCTGAATATCAGGTTTTCCTACTTGTACAGGCAAAAGATGACAATTTACCTGAATCTGCGGATCCAACTGCCTACAACAAAATCTTGCAAGCCAGTGTCCCAGCAGAGTTTCGAAATATGACTGTTATGTGGAGTGATGCGCAGATGAAGAAGTTGTATCCTCTCATTCCAGCCGAAGTCAACAATGTCCACCAGTCACAGTGGCTTTCGGTTCAGAAATTTGCTCAGGACCATCCCAAATTCGACCATTATTTCAACTGGGAATTCGACACTCGTTTTACCGGCCATCACTACAATCTCCTCGAAAAGCTAGCGACCTTTGCGAAAAAGCAACCTAGGAAGGGCTTATGGGAACGTAACGAGAGGTACTACATTCCGTCGTTCCACGACAGATTCTCTACTTTTCGACTTTCGGTTCAAAAAGTTGCAGGAGATGATACCATCTGGGGACCGCCACCAACTCCCGGGGTAGTTCCTGTTGGCCCGAACGCTCCAGGCCTGGAACCCAAGGACGATAGCTTCCGTTGGGGAGTCGGCGAAGAAGCAGACTATATCTCCCTCGCTCCAATGTTCAGTATGTCCTATCCCACATTTCTCCTTTATGTGGACTTGTTAGATTACGTTCCTTTGGTTTCGAAGTGTTTCGAGATGAAGAAGACTTCTTACTGACTCTGCGCGTAGATCCTGTCAATACAAGTTGGGTGGGAAAAAACGATGTCTGGGGCTACGATGGGCTAAATACCCCTCGGCGTGCAACCATTGGCACACACTCTCGGTGTAGCAAGAAGCTTCTTGACACAATGCATGCTGAGAATTTGAAGGTAAGAACACGACTTGACCTAATGTTTCCCCTGGTTGGTGCGCATCTCCGGCACGGAGCGTATATGTCGCGTCTACTATGATCTCGGGTGGACACAACTAATGAACCCTCTCATTTTAGGGAAATCATGTCAGTTCCGAGATGACCCCTCAGACGGTTGCACTGCTTCACGGTTTCAAAGCTGTTTTTGCTCCGATACCTATGTACATGGACAGGGACTGGTCTGGACAAAGCTTAGAGAAGTTCTTCAATCCTGGACCGGTACGCACCGTTCCTCACAAGATTCGACGAAAGAATGTGTACTAATTCTGTAAATAGAAAGGCGAAAGCGGAAGTACTATAGAGTCTCCTTTCAGTTGGGGCAGAGAGAGTAGATTTGCAGGAAGTACGTGGTATTTCCGCGCGAACCCACCGATGAGATTATATAACAACTGGCTGGGTTGGGAAGATAGTGGGATCGGTGGCCCAGAGGTAAGATTTCCTCGCCTCCTTGGATACATATATTGTTGCTGACTAGGCAAAGTGGGAAAAAGCTCACGGCCGGATGTGTCTACCAGCGATACTCCTACATCCGATCAAGAACGTGGTCGAGCCAGAGCCAGGCTTCTCTTCGAAGTCTGATCTACCGTATTAGGCCGAGCTGCCATTTGCTATGTACCATACAATGTGTGATCAATTTTTGAGCGTGGAGTTAAGGGGCGGAATGGTATAAAAGGATAGCATGCATGGCACAGCAGCAGGGTTTGAGAGTAGAGAGCAGGTGTGTAATATTGATCAACCACATATTGCCGGCGTCAAGAATTACCAGATAATGTATATGTTTAGTTTTAGGGGAGCTTCAGCTTTCTCTCATGCATGTGGATATCCTTTTGATGAAAAACCTTACAACTTTGCAGCGCTGGTTCCTGTCAACCCACAAACCAGGATATTTCCCCGAGGCTCCAGGTAAAGACGGGACGAATGCAGCGGCCCCAATACAGCTTATACCCGATTCAGGACGAGCTTCGGGCCGGCGACAGCAGAGGATATCATCCTGTCTCTGGGGCAACAGCTTCACAATCAGATTTCCAGCGCAGGATCATCAGGCCACAGCAAAGAAATGTCAAGCAAGCATATGCAAGTACAAGTACAGTACAAATGCTTGCAACCCCCACCCCAGAACGGCTCCCAAGTCGCCAATGAAAAGCGGCCGCAGCGTGTCGTGTAGCAAAATGCGGGGGAGGTTGGCGGGCTGCGGGGTAGCTACTGTACTGTACTGTACTGTAATTTGTTGCACTTCTCTCTGACAGAACAGCAACTTTCGAGTCGGCCCGTTCACGAACAGGTAGCAGCATGCTAAGTTACAGCGAGGGGTAGAGCAGCCAATTTTCTGTAGCGCCTGCCCTTACAAGACAAGCTTCACCTGCAACGGGCAGGGCAGGGCAGAGCAGGGCAGGGCAGGGCAGGGCAGGGCAGGGCAGGGCAGGGCAGGGCAGGGCAGGGCAGGGCAGGGCAGGGCAGGGCAGGGCAGGGCAGGGCAGGGCAGGGCAGGGCAGGGCAGGGCAGGGCAGGGCAGGGCAGGGCAGGGCAGGACAGGAAACTCGGCCGCCTCGGTGCCATGCAAGCTTGATTTGAAGTTAATCGGGGCGCCAAAAGGGCCGTTGACGTTGGTCCTTGCAGCTACAGTACGAGTAAATTTATCTACTTGCGCATCTTGCATAGAGCTGGGCAAGGATTTTGAGTTGCCCCGCACTGAGTGAGACTGATGTGATGGCGGCCATGGGCAGAGGAAGGAAACCGAATGAGACGAGATCAGATGAGGCGAAGGAGCCAGAAGGGACGCTGCAGGCAAGGTGACATCCCATCCCATCCCACTGCCCCTACCTTGTCGAGCTCATTTGCCCGCGGCCGAGGTAGGGCCAGCTACCCAAGTATCAATCAAATATGGATAGTATTAAAAGGAAAGACAAGGGCCGGCAAATAGATGAGCTGCCTCAATCGCATCCCGACACTCAATTGACCATGGCTGTTCTGTTGGCCTGGATATTGCTTGCCATCACAGCTGTTTCGAGCTCCTCGATGCTGCCTCGGGCATCTAAAGATCCATTGGCTGCGTGTCCAGGTTACAGAGCATCGAATATCAAGACTGGATCATCCACCCTCGCAGCTGATTTGACTCTTGCTGGTCCTGCTTGTAATGTTTATGGAGATGACTTGAAGAGCTTGACTTTACAAGTGGTGTATGAGACAAGTTAGTGTTGTTGACATTTATCAGTACCAATTCTGAACACTGACCATGTTTAGATGATCGAATTCACGTAAAGATTCAGGATGCGGCGGATATCGTCTACCAGGTCAGTATTTCTGCTCTGTATATTCTGGGTGTCCTGAGAGTCAAACACCCATGCTATATGGCCTGAATGAACAATCTAAAGTTCTCCTCGGCTCTTCATACCGCAAATAAACAAAGAGCTGATATCACCCAGATCCCAGCCAGCGTCCTTCCACGCCCGACAGCTTCTCGTGGAATCAATTCCAAAAAGGCTTCGATTCAGTTCAAATATACTGCGTCTCCGTTCTCCTTCTCCATCACCCGAGCCAAGACCGGAGAAGTATTATTTGATACTTCGGCTGCAAGTCTCGTGTTTGAGTCTCAGTACCTCAGATTGAGGACATCGCTTCCCGCAAACCCAAATTTGTACGGCCTAGGTGAACATTCAGATCCCTTTCGCCTCAATACCACAAACTACATTCGTACCCTATGGTCTCAAGATTCCTACGCAATTCCAGCTGGGGCTAATCTCTACGGCAACCATCCTGTGTACTTTGAGCACAGAACGACTGGGACACATGGGGTGTTCTTCGCCAATTCCAATGGCATGGATGTCAAGATCAACAATACCAATGGGAAAGACCAGTATCTAGAATACAACACCCTTGGTGGCGTTCTAGACTTCTATTTCCTGGCTGGCCCTACTCCCGTGGCTGTTTCGCAGCAGTATGCCGAAGTTGTTGGGTTGCCTTCGATGCAATCGTATTGGTCATTTGGTTTCCACAATTGCAGATATGGCTACGAAGATGCGTTTGCAGTCGCAGAGGTGGTCTACAACTACTCGAAAGCCGGTATTCCATTGGAGACCATGTGGACTGACATTGATTATATGGACAGGAGGAGGGTGAGTCAACAAGCTTGCTGGCCGCTTATGTATTACTAATTATCCAGGTCTTCTCCCTCGATCCTGAGAGGTTTCCTCTCGATATGTTCCAAGACATTAACCACTATTTACACGCGCACAACCAGAAGCAAATCGTAATGGTGGATCCTGCCGTCGCTTATCAGCCATACCCACCCTACCAACGCGGAGCGGAAGATGGCATTTTCTTGAGACGGGACAATGGTTCTTTTTGGCTGGGAGTGGTGTGGCCTGGTGTGACTGTTTTCCCTGATTGTAAGTTTTTCTTCGTCTGGGTATGCATTGAATGTTTTGGAATCAATACTCATTTTCACAGGGTTCAACAAGGATATTCAGAGTTATTGGAACAACGAGTTTTGGACGTTTTTCTCGCCCAAGAATGGAATTGATATCGATGGGCTATGGATCGATATGAACGAGCCGTCCAACTTCCCTTGCAATTTCCCTTGCTCGGATCCATATGCGGCAGCTGTAGGTTTCCCTCCCGAAGCCCCGCCAGTTCGAAGCCCGCCTCGCTCACTACCTGGCTTCCCTTGCTCTTTTCAACCAGCTGGATGCGGTGACAGTAAGGAGCGGAGAGATATCGAAAAGTCAGATGTGTCTGCTCCACGTTCGATTGCCTTGATTACAGAGCGGCAATCATCTGGGAAAGTATTGGGTTTGCCTGGACGAAATTTGTTGTACCCTAAGTATGCAATTCATAATGCAGCTGGGACGGACAACGGTCTTGGAGGTGGCATCTCCAACCACACCGTCAACACTGATGTCATTCATCAAAATGGCCTTGCTATGTACGATACTCATAATCTGTATGGAACAAGTAAGTAAATGCGTGAAATTCCCAGCTATCATGTCGCTAATAAGCCTAGTGATGTCCACAGCTTCTAGAAATGCGATGGAGAACCGCCGTCCTGCTGAGAGACCACTCATCATCACTCGAAGTACTTTCGCTGGTGCTGGTGCACATGTTGGCCACTGGCTCGGCGACAATGTCAGTTCTTGGTTAGGCTATCGAATTTCTATCCGTACAATGCTTGCCTTTGCCTCAATCTACCAGGTCCCCATGGTTGGCTCCGATGTTTGCGGATATGCAGACAATACCACAGAGCCACTTTGTGCTCGCTGGGCTACCTTGGGTGCGTTCAGCACGTTTTATAGAAACCACAACGGATACCAGCCCAACATTGCTCAAGAATTCTACCAATGGGCAAGTGTGACGACTGCCGCTAAGAAGGTAATCGACATCCGCTACCGCCTGCTCGATTATATCTACACCGCATTCTATGAGCAGACTTTAGACGGCACCCCACTCATCAGCCCCATGTTCTACATCTATCCATCAGATCCAGCTACATTTGGTCTTGAGCTTCAATACTTCTACGGGCCCTCAATCATCGTCTCACCAGTGACAGAAGAAGGATCCACCAGTGTTTCCGTCTATCTGCCGAAAGACATCTATTATGACTTTTACACACATGCTCAAGTTCAAGGTAAAGGAGCGGCCTTCCAAATCAATAATGTGGCACTTACCGATATTCCACTCCACTACCGCGGCGGCGTGATTGTTCCTCAGCGCATCGAAAGTGCCATGACGACCACCGATCTGCGTAAGAAAGATTTCGAGATCTTCGTCCCTGTCGGCGCCGATGGAAAAGCATCAGGCTCATTGTACATTGACGATGGTATCAGTCTTGAGCAAAAGGGGACCACCTATGTCAAGTTCGACTTCGATGGGAAGACGTTCAGTGTTAAGGGAGAGTATGGATACAAGTCAGGTGTCAGCGTTAAGAGGCTCGTGTTCTTGGGTGTTGGAGGTAGTGTGAAAGGATGTGAGGTTGACGGTAAGAGCGTCAATGGGTGGAATCTTCATGCAAAGAAAGGGAAACTGGTCGTCCCTGTTGGGAAGCCATTGACGAGAGATTTTAAGATCGTGCTTAAGAAGTAATGGATGCTAAATGTGGAAGTAAATAGTCTTGCTCCTGCATCTCCTAGGCGAGGGAAACAAAACATTGACTGAAATGGCGTTCGTTGACGCAAGATGAGGAACAGTGATTGTTTTCGCTCATGGCTATCGATCTGTACAATTTCTCAGGTTCAGAACGACAAGTCCTACGGTTCCTTAGAACGTCAAAGCAGTAGTCTCGGCGAATAAGGAATGGTCACCAAAATTGAACGTAGATCATTATAATAGTATCGTGGTCTGTGCAATTCCATAGTCTTCCAAACTTCCAAAAATACTCACAAGTCATACTGTACAAGCAAACCAGCTGCCTACAACTTGCTCTTGAACTTAGCAGTCTCATCCTTCTTAATCAAAACATCACTTTCAGGATAAGGATCCACCGTCAAGCCATTCAACGGATTCAGCTCGCTAGCTCTGTAAAACATATCCTCATACACCTTTCCGTCCTTTCTCCCCAAACTGGAGTCAAGCTGCCAATCAGGGAAGCTCCACGCATCAACCAAGCTCAAGGCATGTGGTCTGATATCCTCCAATAACTTCATGACGGCCTTTGTGCGAGCAAGTTGGATCTGGCGCACGGTGACCGCTGAAGAGGAGTAGAATTCGGAGGCTTCCTTCTCGAGGGTGCTCAGTGCGTAGAGTCGGAAAAGCTTATGGAGGACGTCGATGGTGGAGGCGTCCAGCTCGTACCGGAGACTTTCGCTCTGCAGGGCGTCGTAGAAGTTCTTAACGACAAGGTACTGCGAGTGTGCGGTACTGAGTCTCCAGAAATCAACTAACAACGAGTTCCAGGAATTCTTCTCCACATCGCGGTGTTTGAGCGCCTCAAATGTCAAGAAAGATGTTCGCCAAGCAAAAGCAGCGACAAGGTCACTGTCTGAGCCAAGAACATCATGAGCAGCACCCATGTCTTGCTTCTGGAGGAAGGTGGTGAAGATGCGGGTGGTATCGTTGTTTGGCGCGTTCCCTTTGAGGACAGCGCGGGCGGATTTGAGCAGGTAACGAGCAACTTGCTGAGTCAACATATAATTATCGCCTTCCCATGTAGTCGTAGGAAGATAATCCGCATACCACGCGCCTATGCCTCCGAATGAGCTGTAGCCGTGGCCACCGCATGCTCTACGGCAGACTTCGAGTCCTTCAGCAGCAGTGGTACTGCCGAGAGCTTTCAGACCACAGGATGTAGCGTGGAGATCTGCGAGAAGGTCGCTACCTGAGTGGGTTTCTTCCGGCCCAGCTCCTCTATTGGTATCTGCGGTGCTCGCGGATGCTTGCATTTGCTTTTGATTCTCCTGGTACAATGCCATCATGGCCTTTCCAGTGAAGTGAAGAGCAAAGGTAGCTGCCAAGAGAGGGAGGAGACGGAATTGCACCATGGTGTAGTTTAGGACTTGATTCTCTCCCAGAGAACCAGATGGAGCATCACGATCCTGGAATTGACGTCTTACAGCGGCGTATCTTGTTGCGATAGTCACACCTCTGGCCAGAACTCCTCCTGATTGCAGCACGATGGTAGATCGCACCCAGGTCAAGGTGCCATAAATCAGGGAAGGAGAAGATGGCTTAACATATTTGTTGGTTTCTGGGTCGACGCGGGAGAACCTCGCAAGCATGTTGATGTGTGGGACCTTCACATGGTTAAGCAATAGGAAACCATTGTCCATGGTGTTGTATCCAAACTTGGGTCCAATGTCGCCCACATGAACGCCTTCGAGAGGTTCATGGGTCTTCATGTCCCTGATCTGGCATACGAATGGATGTGGTCCGTATGGCTTTCCGGCAATGATTAATTGGGCCATAACAACGGCGTGGTTAGCTGTACGTCCTAGAGATCCAATCCACCATTTTGATGCAGTAAGATGAGGCGAGTGGAGGATGAACGTCTTGTCCTCGGGATTCCAGGTCGCGGTAGTCTCCAATCCTCGCACATTCGATCCGTGTCCCAATTCTGTTTGTGCGTAGCATCCAATGGCCTTGTAATTCTGCGCAGGTTCGAGGAAAAGCTTATGCTGCTCTGGCGTACCCTGTCCTTCCAAAGTTGTCTAAGAAGCAAATCAATTAGTGATTGTCAGTCGGACAAAGAGGAGGCAAACATACCAGGTACATAGAAGCATGTAATCCGTACGGCCCAGGCTCAGAGATCAGATCATTGGCCATCATATAATCATCCCTGTTCCAATTGTGCTTGACCTGCAACTGCCTTAACCTCTTCGCTCTGGCCAATGCCGTCTTGAACTTGTCCACTCTGCCATCAAAGTAATTCTGGGACTTGTCGAAGACCTTCTCCGCCTCAAGAATCTTTAGAATCCTGTCTTGTCGCTCTAAAACATCTTTGGTGAAGAGGAAGTTCGAGAGCTTCTCAACAGAGATCTTGGACTTCTCTCTCTCCGCTTTGATGAGGTCGGTGCCCTGTGGAGCGGACGGCTTCAGGTCCTTGACCCATTGAGGAGTTGGAGACATTGTTGGCAGATATCAGTCAATCGATAGTGGTGTGAAGGACGTTCGAGTTTGATGTTTATAAAGTTTGTTTTCTTCGTCGGCCTTCGGTCGAGATGTAGAGATCATAGGCGTCATGAAAATGGCGGGCTTAGCTCCACCAAATTGCCGTGCCGAGGCACAGTTTCAGCTCCATCTTCAGTCTCCGAGTGCTGACAGCAAACACGTACGATAATTTTATGGAGATACTTGGAGAAAATACGGAGCCCTTTCATCGGCTCCTTTGATTATTTTGTTCTTACACGAGGAGAATGAGCCGAGGTTCGGGTTGTACAAGGGTTTCGTTGCAGTCCGACGTTGCTGACCAGTCACAGGGAGCTGAGCCCGCATACCCGGTCTCGGCTGGTGACAGGGGAAGCGAAAGCCTGGGTGTTTGTTGACATTCTCAACTATAAAAATTCGAAGTCCACGATATACCAAAGTCTACAGTAGGCATTGCCAAGACATTACGTATTCATTTCATATTATTACATGTAGAACTCGAGGCTTCTCGCACAGATTTAAGAAGCACTTTCATAGAGGAGGCACTTGCTACACCCGGCGCAGGTCAATTGTTTACGGAATCGAGGTATGGAGAGCTCACTGGCTGTTACATACCGCACACTCTTTCTTATATCGAGCCCTTCGCATGTCCATTCACCGTCAAATGTATTCATGTGGGTACAAAACCGAGTTCAGCCAAGCAGATACATATAAAATCAAAGCACCTTCAGGAGCAGCTCTGAAGCTAGCAGAGTAGAAACGATTTATATGTAGCTTCTCTCATCGAGAATATCCAACTGTACTATGAGCCTCTCCAAAAACTCAAGAGGCTATCTTTCTGCGTTTGAGGTCCTCAGCATGGTCGAAGCTTCCTTATTTGGATATTTTGCTCTGCGTGGAAAGTCAAAATGCGATCAGCATCTTCTTATGGCAAGTGCTCACATGGCCACTTCGCTATTTCTATATCGATTCAGAAAATTTCTTGTATCTATCATTGGCGTTCTAGAACAAAACAAGCTCGCTCCAAACCTAACATACTTTTTCTCAAAGCTCCTAATCCGCACTCTCTTTCTACTTAGATGGCATTGGAAACTACATTGTATCGCTCCAGCTTCGCATCCTTCACTTTGCTGCTCCTCATCTTCCAGAGCTTACGCTTTGTCTTGATCCCACCCGATTCTGCCAATGATTCGTCAATCCACACCGGACCCCCCATCACAGACGACCACGTCCTCCCGCTTATCCTCTGACTCCCGAGGTCCTCAAACCCACAGATGTGTTTCAAAGGGCAGGTTTTGGCTCTGGGGCATTGCAGTTGTGATGGTCATTGTCATGATCATTGGTATCCTGTTCGCATCGCACGTCTACTATCACGCCATGGGTGGCCAGGGATTCTTGAAGGCCAGACGATATCAGGAAGAGGTACATAAGCTGGACAACGGAACACAATTGTATTTGCCGATGCGTAAAGTTGAGAAACCTGTGCAAGGGAAGCCTTTCTGGGACCTGATTGGCAGGTCGCCCAAAAATATTCCTTTCTACACATGTGGAGATCAGCTGAACAGCTGTGACACTTTTGGTCAGCCAGTAAGTGGCCATTGAAGCGCAAGATAACTGACTTACGGAAGACACCAGGACATATGCTGCCCAGTGACGATGGCATGCTATCGCGCAAAGTTTACACCATCTGGAATCGCTTGTTGCAACTCGTCAGCAGATAAATTCGACTGTGAACCTTCCGAAGATAACCCTCCAACGTGTATGAAAGGTACTGTTCAATGTTCCGAAGCAACAGGAGGCGGATGCTGTCCTTCTGTATCAGAATGTTCGCCGAATGGATGTATCCATGTTGTCAGCGCCAGTATCCTCGGCGCCAGTCCGACAGATTCATCTTCTGCCAATGACGTATCCGAATCTGCTCTTTCAACTTCTTCTGTGACACGTAACAGTATGAGCGCTGTGGAAACTCCACTCTCTACAGTCACCGTCACCCAACAGCCGGCTTCAACGCAAACCCTTGCCAAGGCGGGAGAAGTGATGCAAGCCAGAGGATCGAAGGGGTCCATTGTGATGGCACTTTGTGTACCGTATTCTACAGCGTGTCTGCTAGTTGGCGTTGCCACGCTGATGGGATTACTATAGGCTGATCCAGCAAATTTGGATGTAATTGGACAGCTGGGGCCGGCAAATGTCTCTGTTTGTGCCCGCAAAGACAGTCTTCATTTTGGGAGATATAGACACTTGAGACTTCACAATGACCGACGGCACGAAAATATGGAGCTTCTCTTAACAAAGCTTCCAAAATGCGCGATCAAGGTGAAGAGAATATATTTAGTCAACCGATGCAAGGCCAATACTCAAGCTGCTCTTACCACAGAATTCACCTGTCTTAGAAACTGGTATACCTACCTGGTACTACTCGTATCGAGATTGATAATAATTCATTTAACTAGTGAAATTGTCTAGGTTGTCCGTTGCTCTCCGCTACCTTCAAAATTGCTCTGTGTCGGTTGACTTGCTTTTTGGGCTCGGCTAGCTCGAAGCGAGCCAAGACCTTTGGCTGTAAACACCGCATAGCTAAAGGCTTACCAGTTTAAGATCGATGTGAAATTTCCTGAATATAGGTACTAATTGGATCGCGGCGCAACGTTTGATTTACGAGGGGTTATTGGCTGCTATATTCGACGTGAACATCCAGATAGATCTCGAGGTGGTTATCCGGCTCTTGGATCGCAACACATATTATTCTGTTAACACAAGCAGGGGCTTGTTGTCCGCAATTTCCAGAGAATCGTTTTTAACCTCTCTCATCTAGCGCCTAGTCTCTACCTCGCCATCCGTCGTGCAGCAATCCAGCGCAGTAAATCCAGACCCTAGCGTTGCGCGATGATCTGCAAGGATTAGTTGTGAAGACAACACTATCATCTCTACTGTTGCTTCCCTTCTTGTGATGAGTGCAGACAATTCTCGAATACATTGTTTTGTCGGCGAACATGTGAAGAATAGTCATAACCATAACATCGACGATAGTCTTTGTTGCTCTTCCAAATGAAAACTCTTTCTGAGCAACTAATACATCTTCTTAGTTTGGTCCTGAGTGGATCATCTGCATTGAAGGCTAGATATGTTGACACAGGTTATATCTGGTATGCCCTACGGAATAGGCGACGATGTAATGGATTGTTGGTAGATGCAATATTACCTTCCACTTCTCGCATGTTCAAGAATCTTGATCCCACTTTGTCATCCTGTCTGCGTGGTAAGTTCTTTCGAGATTCGTCCTGAAAAAGCAACATATCCTTTTTTGGAACAAGTCGGGTTCTCCTGCCCGTCATGGAACTTTTGATACGGACCAAATGGCGTGGTGGCATTGGGTAGCAATCAGTTCCTCACCTGCGCCCCTTGGATGAAACAATGAAACGACCAAAGTTCCAAGAAGAAACTTCAATAGGCTTGAAATTTCCTCGAACATGCCATTTCCAATCGAATCATGAAAATCAGTCATGCTTCAGGTGGGATTGATCTCAGGCTTGCCCCCATTCTTGGCACTCCGTCGTAGTGTATCCCTGATCCCTAACCCCGCGCCCTCCACCAAAAACGCCTTATCGGGACAGGCGAGAAACTTCAGTTCTTTTGTTCAAGAAGGCTCCCTAGACCTCATCCTATCTTTTTGGAATATTGACAACTGTATTTGTGAATATTTTATAATAAACTTCTTGGGACATTTTCACGATGGCCCCTACAGCAACTTCAGATATTTTACCGGTCGCGTCTAAAGTGGGGGTTGTAAAGGATGAGCCTCAACAACAACATGTTCACGGAGCAGAAGACAAGACTCCTTTAGAGGCTATTAGCCATGGAGGATTAATAATCCCTGGTAAAGTCTCGCTCTGTCACCTACATATTGATAATTGCTCCTGGCCATGAATGAACTGTTGAGCAAATGACTCTTTCGAATCGATGAGGGAGGCGAATTTCGATTCTCGGAGTTCAAATCGCGATACATGCAAAATTTCCCATCTGAGTCACATTTCTTATCAAAATCGACGGAATTATGACTGACTAAAGGATTTCAGGCATTCCAAAATTCCACACTCCAGCGGAAGAGCGCAGACACATCCTCGTCCACACCGCAGCGGTCTTCCGTGACTTTTCCCGGAAAGGCTTCACAGAAGGCATGTCAGGTCACATTTCCGTCCGCGACCCTGAGTTCGAGGACTACATCTGGATGAATCCCCTCGGCAAGCATTTCGGTCTAATGACCGCTGGAGATCTGATTTGTTTGGATATCAAGACGGGGAAAATCGTTGGTGGTAACAGGGTGTGTTTACTTTGTCGCTTACTATATTCCCCCTGGACGATGAAGCACTCGTCATCCTGAATATTGTATCCTGTACTAATACAATTATCAGACCAGACCAGCCAACTCGGCAGGCTTTCTCATCCACTCCGAGATCCACAAGGCAAGACCCGACGTACATGCAGTCTGCCACGCTCACACAAACGCTGGCCGTGCATGGTCATCCTTCGCTACTGGAATCGACATGCTGAATCAGGACATCTGCTATCTGTATAACTCTGTAGCTGTATATGCTGAATATGGTGGGATTGTGTTTGCTGAAGAGGAAGGAAAGAACATTGCTAAAGCTTTAGGCGCAAATAACAAGGTCTGTTCATTCTACTCACTGTTAAAACCTACAGAGATAAAGCTGACAAGACCAGACTGCCATTCTCCTCAACCACGGCCTCATCTCAACAGGCGCAACAGTCGATGAAGCCGGCTTCCTCTTTGGCCTATTAGACCGTGGTTGTGCCATTCAGCTACAGGTCGAAGCCGCCATGGCTGGCAACCCTTCTCTCAAAAAGCACGTTGTTAGCGACGAGGAGGCAGCCTACAACTTTAAGATGGCTAGTGAGAAGAATGCTTTGTATGCTGAAGCACAACCTGACTTGGACTACGAGTTTGCGATGGCTGGAGAGGGGGTTATTGAGAAGGGAGTTGAGAGCCAAAGCATTGACCACGGGCTGTAGATAGGCTGGGGGCTAGATATATAATGAATTTAGAGCATTCCGATACCCAAATCATCAAGGGAGGTGGTAAGAAGTACTGAAGAAGGTTTTCTTTTGCACGAGAATCTGTTTGACCTTTGATTTGGAATCAAGACTGCCAAGCCTAGCCTGACACCAGAATACCTGAGCCCCCCCCGGCCCCCCCAAAAAAGGAAATTGTTTCCAGCCGTACTCATTTATTGTGCAATCTTGGACGACTTGTTCTTCTAGTCTGCGGATTTATTCCTGTTCACCTCCACTATTCGCAATTTTGATGTCATACAATCCAGTCCGCTTTTCCGCGTACAGCCCATAATCTTCTGCCACGAAAGTGCTCTTTCTTGCTCCCGGATCCCAGATTTGGCCCACCAACTCCACATTACGGGATGTCTCTCCTCCGAAATATCTCCGCCTGCAGCGCTGGCAGATTTGAATGATGGTGTATCTATGTCATACTCGAAACGGACTCTTGCGCCAAAAGGCGGAAGGGGAATGTGGTTATATCGAAAGTCGAAAACTGCTGCGTATGACGAACGATATCCAAGAGCACCCACAACGATTCCAATTACCGCACCAAAGACAACTTCGTAAGCATGGTGCTGCTATAAGTCCGAAGATGTTAGTAGATGCAGATAGTGGAAGTCTATGGAGGCCGAACATACGTAGGAAATGTACATGGACCCTCCGATCAGAGACGCGAGAAGTAATGGCATTATTGTGACAATGAATACCCAGAACTCCGAGGCATGATCTGCGAATGCTTTCAACTTCGCGTTGAGGTATAGAGTAAGGAACATGGCTCCAGCAAAAGCGCTGGTGGTATGGCCGCTTGGGAAGCCTTGGATGCTGTAACACACGTCAGCCTTCCCCGCTTGTTTGTTTTCAGACCTTTCATGCTCACGCTCTGTTGACATCGTGGGAATTTGCTGTACAAGCCGAAGAGTTGAAAAAGCTCTGCAGTTGGTTGACACCTCCTAACATCATGGCAATATCCGGTTTGCATACTTGCATGTAATGCGGTCGGAAGCCTCCAATGAAGTGTTTGAAAATGGTGGCAATCATTGTCCTAGACTCAATCATTACGTTTCCTCGGACATTTTAGCAAAGACCGTTCTGCACGTACGATGAGACCGTTGCTTTGAGAGTCCCCATAAATCCAGCATGGAAATCCCAGAGACTTCGAAGCTTGAGTTGGAACAGAGTAATAACAAGCAGAGGAACCAAGACGACAACGACACCGCAAGCCCATGTGGGAATGGGTTCCCGAATCCAAGGATAGCTCAGCTCCAGCGGTCCTTTGTAGGCGGTTCTATAGTCTTCCATATTGCTTTGTGGATTCATTCTCGACACCGGGATAACACGATGGTCGAGGAGGTACATTGGAAGAAGGTAAACCCAGAGGCTAGAAGCAGCAACGACCGCAATTGAAGCATAGTCTCGCCAAACCAGGCCCAAATAGGACACAGTTCCTCTTTCTTGAAGTATTTGGTGAGTTTGGCGCTCACCGTCCGCTGCCAGGGTACTAGGCATGGCATTGGTACTATCCTATCCCCAGGCAAAGAGTAAACGAGAAAAGAGAAGGCGTGTCGGGGGTGACAACGAGTGTGAAGAATTATTAAGTCATAATAGGCATAGAGAAAGGGACGAAAAAACGGATTAGTTTCCAAGACAAGAATTGGCTGGCAGCATATCCTCGCAAGGCCACTTCTCCGCTCAGTCGCACTTGCTGCAGGGGAGGAGCATTGGCCCATAGCCAAAGCCCCAATAGAAAAGCCAGAGTCTGAATATCGAAGCTCTCAGCATCTTCGATATCCTTGGAGGTCAGACCACAAGTAAGGCACCCCGAAGCTGTGCCATCCAGTCAATCTTGCCTTCTTTTTTGTCCATGAAGACACCAGCACTGGATGAGTTCCAGTGTCAGATGTTGACGTTGAAGCGAGAAAGGGGACAGGGCACGTGCACGTGCACGTGCACGTGCCCGTGCCCGACTGCGATCTCGGATGAGCAGGGCCCAGCAGCGCCGTCGTACGAGTTCTTTTGTAAAACTCTGGACCAATTGAACTTGACCTATTGCTGCCCAAGTCACTCAAATCAAGGCTTAAACAACTGAGAGAGGCGATTATATCCCGCTTTCCCTCAGTTCCCTTTGCTCATATGTAAACAAAGCTGGCCAATCGGGCAAGTTCGGAATCTACACAAACAAGCTGGCATTTCACGCGCTTCGCCGGGTCTACCCCGCCATCGACAAGCTGGCTCCCACTTCTCCCCACGCCAGGCTATCGGTCATATCCAGACATTTAGATCCTCGGCCACCCATTCCTGTCAACACTCCATACTCCGTCGAGAAAGCATCCAGCCTTCAATCGGTTCCAGTACAAGCCAGACGATTCAGTTCCAGTTCACAGACTTCAGAGAAAGCCACCATGTCCAGCCAACCAAATCACCCCGCACTGCTCATTCCAGGCCCCATTGAGTTCGATGATGCCGTTCTACAATCCATGAGTCACTATAGGTTGGAATCTCCTCTAATCCCACTCTTGTCTGCCAAAAAGTTTGTTCGGAGACTGACAAGAGGGTGCTGTTGACAGTGAATCGCATGTTGGAGCACCATTTGTTGCCACGTTCGGCGAAACCCTTTCCATGCTTCGAAAGCTCTTCCAAACCACCGATCCATCATCTCAGCCATTCGTAATTTCTGGTTCAGGCACTCTTGGATGGGACTTAGTGGCCGCAAATTTGGCAGAGCCGGGCGACGATGTTTTGGTGCTTCACACTGGATATTTCGCAGATTCGTTCTCGGACTGCTTTGAGACCTATGGTGTGAAGGCCACACAACTGAAGGCAGCCATTGGATCAAGACCCCAGCTTCCAGAGATCGAGAAGGCGTTGAAGGAAAAGAAATACAAGCTCTTGACAGTTACCCACGTTGACACGTCGACTGGAGTTCTGAGCGAGCTGAAAGCTCTGTCTGAATTGGTGCACCGGGTTTCTCCAGACACATTGGTCATTGTAGATGGGGTCTGCAGTGTTGGGTGCGAGGAGATTGAGTTCGACAAATGGCAACTTGATGGTGTCATTACGGCATCCCAGAAAGCAATTGGGTGTCCAGCAGGCCTCTCAATTTCCATGTACAGTGGCCGAGCTATCAAGGCATTTCAGAGCAGAAAGACACCACCTGGGTCTTACTTCGCATCGTTCAAAAACTGGATGCCAAGTAAGTCAAGCTTCTTCTGTGGCAGTGTATCCAAGACTAACTGATTTCAACAGTCATGCAGAATTACGAAGCCAAGAAACCTTCATATTTTGCAACCCCATCGCCCCAATTAGTCCACGCCCTCCATACCTCTTTGACTCAGATTCTTTCCAAGCCACTTTCAGAGCGCTTTGCTGCTCACCGTGCGGCATCCCAGAAGGTGAAGAAGGCTGTCACTGAGCTTGGCTTGAAGCAGCTGGCGTCAGACCCGGCGGACCAAGCAAATGGGATGACTGCCATTTATCTTCCAGAAAACGTTAAGGCTCCGGAACTTCTCCCTAACCTCTTAAAGAAGGGTGTTATTTTCGCTGGCGGTCTCCACAAGGAGATCGCGACCAAGTACATTCGTGTTGGACACATGGGCGTAAGCGTTGTAAGTCTTTCCAAAAATCCTTGTTTTGATCATATAATGCTCACTACTTATCGATAGACTGACCCCAAGCGTGATGACATTGATCGTGCTATCACGGCTCTTCAAGGTGGATTGTCAGATGCAGGCTACCAAAAGGCGTAGAACTTTAGATCTCCACAAGAAATATAAATTGAGTATATTAAAAGTAAATTCAAGACATTTACTTATTTTAAATAGTATTGAATTTCTCCTTCCTAGCTATATTATTTAAACATCCTGATATCTGAACAATACCTTTTCATACTCTTTCCATTACCTGTGCCTATCTCCTCTCGTCAGGCTTACCGAACCTTCTCAATACCTCCGCCCGGCCTTCCTCAGAAAGAGACCACAAAGGATCCCAATAATTCATCGCAGTAGGTTCGCCTTTCAGTCCCGGCGCCGTGAGCTTAGACAATCCAATATGGCGGTCATAAGTCTCTACGCCACGGGTAAGCCGCTTGCCTCCCTCTGCTGGTATATCAAGGATGAAGTTGGGTACTAAGAAGCCAGCGATTTGTCCTCGCACGGCTCTCTCGAGCTCCAAGCTGTCAGCCATGGGTGTACGTAGGTCTTTTGCTCCTGGTACGATATCTCTCTGGTAGACGTAGTACTGCAGGCAGAGGTGTATTAGCGCGATGAAGATACATTGAGTAAACATGTGTATATGGATATTCACTGGTTGTAATGAATTGGAGAGGAGGATCATACTGGCTGGATATTGATGTCTCCTAATGCATGAACAAGTGCACACATCTTCTCGGGGGTATTGTTGACGCCGTTAAGAAGCACTGTTTGGTTTCGAACCGTGACGCCCGCTTCATAAAGCCGCTGTGCACCAACGCGCGTCACCCAGCTGATCTCGTTCACCGAATTAAAGTGCGTGTGGATACAGACGTGCTTGCCCATCTTGCGTGCCGTTCTATCCAGCTCAATGACCGCACTCACCCAATTATCTTCCGGATCGACCAGCCTGCTAGAGGACACAGAAAGTCCTTTACTGGCGAACCGGAAACGGCGGATATGCGGGATTCTGAGAAGTCTTTCGCCGATGTATTTCAGCTGATCAGGCTCGAGAAGATAGGTGTCGCCGCCGGAGATTACAATGTCCTTTAGAGCTGGCGTGTTCTCAATGTATTGAAATCGAGACTCCCATTTCTTGATGAGGGGTAAGAATCGTTGTTTCTTGACGCTTTCGGTTTCCGTTCCCACGGTGTAGGAGCGGAAGCAGAAACGACAGTACACGGGACATACTGAAGTCGCTGCTTGAGGTCAGTTTGACGTACCCTGTTTCCACCGCCATACGTGAAATTCAGCCAGCACATTGAGTGCTCTCATATTTTATGACATGTCAATGAGCGTGGATAAACCAAAACCGAAGGACTGAGAATAGAAGGACCACGACTGAAGAAGATACGTAATTCATTTTCTTACCAAAGAATAAAGCCCTGTCTGGGTAGCGATGTATCAAACCCTCAACAGGTGAGTAGACATTTTCCTTCATAGGATCCAGTTCCGCCATGGGGTGATCTACGTTCATAGGGGTCGAGATAGGGATGAACTACCGCCGAATCGGATCATTGATGGGATCTTGCCAGTCGATACTGCTGAGAATGTGAGGGGAAAGCCGAATGGCCATCGGTGCTTTCTTGATGCCTTCTTGGAGACGGCGTATGAAATCTTCTGGGGTTTTCACATCGTTGATGCGGAGGTGTGGTGCCATATCAGACTGAGGCGGGATACTTTCAGGAAGAACAGATGAGAGGAATTGGTTCAGGGCCTTCTCTGATTGCACTGTATTAGCCATTTGCCATTTGTGCCGTAGGAACTGCTCCGTCGTGATGTCCTGCCATCGGGGTATTTTTCGCCAGTACTGCGGCTTGTCGGCTGTCGAAAAGCTAAATTCAGGAGAAGAATGGACAACAGGCATGAAATGGTTGACATCTTGGCCAGTCGTGTTACTGGAGGGAGGCTGCGCCGTCGCAAAATAGGCACGCCTGTACGCTGCCTGCCTGAACGCACATCGTACCAGTGGTCTGCAATACATGTCAGGTACGTTCCAATGGAGAGTTCGTCGTAGAATTGAAAGTGTGAAAATCAAACGTAGATGCAAGATGGTATTCCACAATAGGCAAGAAAGCAGCAAGGATAGATAGGTGAGCGGCGATAGCTCGTTCGATTTCTATTCATCCTCTTAGTAAAGCGGCATTTGCTGCTACATCCATGAACCATTGCTTCCTTGTCCACAGTTCAACAAGTGTAGTTTGCATCTGATTTCTGAAAAGCTGGAAATACGTCATGCGGGGGGCGGCTTAGTACAAAGATGACTACCAAAGCAGATGAATGACTAAAGCATTGAAACTTGTAGAATGGTACGGGGAAAAGGAGAGTCGCAGTAGGAATCGGCCCAGCTAACTGATGAGATATTCCGAGACATAGTATAAGCGACAGCTAATGAGCAGGAAGAACTGAGAAGAATCCAAAATGACATGTAAGCGCAGTGTGTCGGCGCTTTGTGTGCCTAGTATCGACATTGCACTGTTATGCAGACTTAGTAATTTGTTGGCTTACTCGGATTTTCAGACTTCAAGACAATAAGCAAATCTCCCAGCACGAGACATCAGAGTCTGACAGACAGATTCTTGCTGTCAGATAGCGTGTAACATCATGCCACTACAGAGAGAAGGAGCTGATCGCGAAAAGATGAACACCGCATAAACTCTGTCATCAATTTGTGGAAAAAAGGGTTGCTCTCTGTTGATTCTGCACCTTCATTCGGAAGCAAATGTACCATGGGCTCAATCAATAATCACGCAGAGCGCGAAGTCGCCCGTATCTTCAACTCGACCGTTGCTGGCTGGGCCATTGGTGCTGCTTGGGAACTTGGCATCTTGGACGAGGTTCGGGATCATGAGAAGCTACACCCACAAACCTTCGCATCGCAGCATGATCTCGACCTCGTCTCCACCGAGGGTCTCATTACGACCCTTGTTGTCGTAGACATCCTGGAACGAGACGGAGATGGACAGGGAGATCTCGTGGTGGCGGGAAAGCTCTTCGACGAAGCGTACCGTGCGAAATCGCAGTTTCACTGGCTCAGCCTCGGATCTGGGACTCTGTTCTCGCGGATGCAGTGTATCTTGCGCCGCGAGAATCGCAAGGGAAAGTTTTATACTCGAGATCCGGCAGCCATCGCTTATGCCTGCAGAGATATCGACGGTGAGCATTTCGGCCCGGCTTTCCAAGCTGCCTTGGACCGGATCGACTTCCAGGTTACCCGAGTCGCTGACCTCGGATGCGGCAGTGGCGAGCGGCTGATGCAGGTTCTTGAGCACCTGGAGTCCTGGACCTTCAGCAATCCTGGTCCGGAGCCGAATCCAAATCCGAATCCCGCGCAGTCGGCATCGGCATCGACTTGGCCGGGCCCTCCCTTAAGTTCGCGGCCGCCGAAGCCGCAAAGCGTGGGTACGGCGACAGGTTGAGCTTCATTGAAGGCGACGCTCGTGCGCTGAAAGCGGAAGACGACTTTGCTGAGATCGACCTGTTGACTTGTTTCATGATGGGCCATGACTTCTGGCCCAGATCAAATTGTGTCGCTGCGTTGCGGAGGCTTCGCGAGAATTTCCCCAAAGTCCGCCGATTTCTCCTGGGTGACTCAACCAGGACCTTGCTTGGAACCAAGGGGTCCGAAAGAGCAGCTGCTGAAGCTAATACACCTGTCTTTCCTTTGGGCTTCGAGCTTGGCCACGCCATGATGGGCACTTACCTGCCTAGCATAGAGGAGTGGGAGGGGTCTTTGAGGACGGCGGTTGGCGGTGTATAAAGAAGCATGCTATGCCCAACGGGTTTTCTGTTGTCTTCGAGCTGGAAAAAACAAGTGAGGCGACCACATAGTGAGCATTCTTCCACAAACGGAGGTGAATATGCAAATGTTCAATTAACATTTTGAAAACAATATACAAAGGTTGTCTGTCATGTCCATAAGCTTGCTTTGACTTTGAGAGTAAATTTGTACCTAAAAAAAATTGGACTTTAGTTTTTCTTCACTATCATTACTTAAAGCTTAAATTAAGCATGAGCATTTTGTAAGGGTTTTGTACTAAGTAAAAGGTCCTGGTGTTGGGGGTTGAGAATCGTATTGATGAAGTTCTGTAAGACCGGTGCCCTACGCGGTCTTTTTTCTGACAGACACGGCCTACACTTTCTGTAGACACTGTCTGTAAACAGGCCTTCCTAAGTTGTTTTCTATCTGTGAGTCAATTGATGGTTTGCATTGCTTTTAAGCTAGATTCTCTTGTTTTCAAGGTTTCCCTTAACTCAAGCAAACAGTCAGACTCTGTTTGTAATTCCTAACACTTCCCCTTGAATAACTCCTTATCTCCTTCATTCCTTCTCTTCCTCGCTGCTTCTCTCTCTGCTAAAGCAAAGTCTCCTTTAAGGTCTCTAGGTAAGATCTCCCTCTTCCCCCCTCCCCTTCTCCCGTCTCCTCCTCCTTTTCCACCATTTCATTTGTCTCTTTCCTCTCAACTCCCTTCTTTAAGTTATCTGAAGGTAAGTGTTGTAGTGTCTTGACTTTAGACCTTCGAATAAGAAGGTCTGTGTGTGCGCCTCACTGAAAATTCGAAATAAGAAATGCAGCCTTGTTCTAATAATCAATTTGTACTTTCTTAACAAAAATGCAGAAGAAAATATTTTGCGAGCTGTACTTCTGGTATATATGACCTACTCCATGAGAAACCATGCCATGCAAAAAAAAGCCAACTCTCTCCGTTGGCTGAAAGGATGCCATTCACGACCCTTCGCTGAACAAAATCGTTTGGTTTAGTTCTGGCTGCATGAATTGCTTTCGCAATGTATTTTACGTTCTTGTTGTTTACTGAGCACGATGCATTAGCTCCGGCATCGAGGAGAGAAGCACACGTATTTTATAAGCAGTACTTACAGCCACTTATTGAGACGCGCCCCGAGCTAAGCATATAGATATGTGACTCTTCTCGGAGTATGTCCACCTCGAAAGGTGTCAGGCCAGTGTAAGAAAACATGCCAGTCTACAAGTTGCATTTAGCATCAGTCAACTTTATTGCGCTTCTCCTGTTTCCTGACCCTATTCATTCAACCCAGGATCCATTTGAAAGGCTTACCTGACCAGTAATATGCTTCCATGAACCAGGCGTGCCTATGCAAACCAGCTCGTCATGCAGGGCACAGCGCATCCTCTTTATGCGACTACTCATTATTTTTAGATCTGCCAGCCAAGCTTCCTTTAGCTCTTTGTTGTACAGAACTGTCTTCACAACTGTGGAACCGTGTTTTGGCGCCATCGAGAACTCGCTCCGCAGCGGATGGCACATGTTCGCCATTGCGTTTTCCTTGATTATAACTGACGACTTTGCCAAGATGAGATGTAAGGCACCAGTCCGATGCCCTTAGATGCCGAAGCTCTTGGAGAATGACTGCGCTACAATCATCTCGAGACGTGGTTGCTGCTCATAAAAGTAGCGGATCGCCCAGGTATCTTGGACCGGGTCGCCGGTGGCGAAGCCTATGTAGGCGGCGTCGAAGAAGGGAAACAGCTGTTTGCGCTGGCAGAGACCTGCGATTGCCATCCATTGCTCCTTGGAGGGGTCCAAACCGGTCGGGTTATGTGCGCAGGCATGGAGGACGAGGACATCCTGCGGCTGAGCATGTGCTTCGAGGGTCTGCATCATGCCAGCAAAATCCAGCGAGAAGTCTAAATACTTGTAGTATGGATATACCCGAGGGTTCAGACCTACATATTCCCATATTGTATGATGATTTGCCCAGGTCGGGTCCGAAAGCCAGACATTCTGCGGCTGCAAATGGTCGACGAGAAACCTTGCCCCTATATGGTTTGCACCCGTGCCAGAAATTGTCTGTACCGATGCGATTCGTAAATCATCCACGCCAGGAGCCTGGGTACCAGCCTTTTTACTGGGAAAGAAGATAAGATCCTGGCTTGCCTGGAGAAATTGCTGGTCTCCAGCAATGGGGAGGTAGTCATGTCTGGTATGATCAGCTTCGTCGTGAAGTTTCTTTTCGACCTGACGAACTACATCTAGAGGCCAGGATAGGCCATCTTCGTTGCAGTAAATACCAGCCGCAAGGTTGACGCGTTCTGAGTGTGTGTCGGCATGAAACGCAGCGAGAAGGTCAAAAACCTCGTCAGTGACTGCCCTGGGCAGAGAGGAGAAGCGAGAGATGGCCATAGCAGATCGAAGTATAAGAGATCGAAGACAGAAACACAAAACATACTCAACTAGAACAGGTATCTACTTAGTATCATAGAGTCCAAGCACCACGTTTAACTTGCGAATCATGAGACAGCAACCTGCTGGCTAGATGGCTGAGCGGGCAAGTTCCCCAAATGACTCATCTGCCTTCAAACATGAAAATTATCTTTCTATTAGGGAATATCACTACTCCTGGTCAAGAGAGCTGCTTACGCTGAATATATAATCTAAGCTTACTAGGAAGTATGACTAACAGGAATTATAAACGTGTATCTCAATTATGCTCAAAGGGCAACGTCCCAGTAATACAAAACATCTTACAGCACTGGGAATGATTGATCCGCGGGCTGGTCGTGAAAAGTGAAGAGATTCATTAAGTAAATAGTACATATCGCCCTCGTCTATCAGTTGACTGTTGCACAATTTCGGCGTAGCCTCATTTCAGGGTGGTCTGGACCGTCCGCAGAATTTACCTTGACAACGCGATTACCTTAGAGGCGAAATGAGGCCAGAGCCCAGGATAGTACAGCGCTACCTCAAGTAGAAAGTTCCAAAGAGAGCAAAATACACGAGATTTAATGATGAATAAACTCCTATATCGAACATTTTCAAGCAATTAAGATTATAGTATAGTGTTTCTCGGCCTATTCGCTTAAGTTTGGTCGAGGTTGTTTTGTTTAAACAAGTAAATAAAATTGCTCCTGCTTAAAGCAACCTTTATCCCCCTACGTCGATCGATATGAGCGGCTCCATTTTCAGACCCAAGAACAAAGGGAGAACCTATGCTACACAGACAGTGCAGCGAGCTGTAGTTGGGGGAAGGGGTGCTGCGAGCCGAGCCGAGCCGTAATCGCTCGCAAAAGAGCCGAGCGGGGGAGAGCTTGGCGGGCCGCTGGGCTGTCAAGCCCCCGCAAAATTCGCGGATCATCGCAAAGCGGGATGACGCTAGGCGAGGGCGGATGACACGACCAACCTCGGACAGCAGCCTGTTGGATAGTAATCTTTGCATTACCTTAGTGCACATGGGCAACTGACTGTCCTGTGTTGGCGTGTGGACAGTCAGACCAGTTGGAAACCATGAGTAAGCCAGCAGCCAGCGACCTGTGCCATGAACACCACGCGAAGGTGGAAGAGGATCGCAAAATGAGAGGAGGACCAGACAGTGCTGGGCATCAGCAGTCGAGAGTTCGATTGAGCTGTTGTCTGTATTGCGATCATTACATTCTTCCAACGTAGCCGACCATCAAAAATGGAGTCAGGCATGAAATACCGAGAACGAACCTTGCGATTGGATCTGCAACGGCGTGTTTGCGAAGATGGGAACGGGGCCATCGCTGATGCTTGGATTTTTGATGTGGTCGAAAGTGGTCCGCAAAAGGGCCTCCATCTCGCAATTGCACTTGTGCCCCAGGAGCACCGTGCTGGTGAGGAAGAAGAAGCTCTCATCGTGGAGACGGCCCGCGAAGCCCTGAAAAAAGCGCTCGATAATTTGCCTCTGTCTGCAGCTTTTCCGGCGATAGACGACTGGCGGTGGCTTGTCCTTCCACGACTTCCATCTTCCAAAACTGGTGGTGTGGACAAACATCTACTGGGGCAGAGTCTGTATGAAAAGGAGACACAGCATGCCAATGGACATGCTTTTCCAGATGTCTCTGAGGATGAAGCCACACTTGCCATTGTCAGCCCACACCAGTATTGGAATGATCAGTTATGTGATGCGAAGCCACCCAGCTTTCCACGGCTCAAGCCAGGCAGCATGTTAAGGCGACGGACGTCAAACGGAATGCGCCGAGTCAAGAAGTCAAGTTCGTTTCCATTGCAACCGAATGGAAAAAGCGCTATGGACAGGAACACTCTTGTGCGTGCCGCATGGGCTATTGTGCTTGCGCGCTATAGTGAGAGCGATGATGTTTGTTTTGGAGCGCAAGTTTTTAGCATGGATAAAGTGGCAAGCCCAAACACTGCTACAATCGTTCCGATCCGCGTCCGCATCGATCAAAGATCAACAACTAAAAGCTTTCTGCAGAGCGTCCTAGCGCAAGCAGTTGAAATGATGCATTATGAGCAATTTGGTCTCCAGAACATATCAAAAGTTAATCGCGATGCCGAGGTTGTCTGCAACTTCTCCAGCGTGCTGATCGTTAGGCCCTTGGACCTTTCCGAGAAATTGGATAGACGTCCAGAGACGAATTTGGAGGATAAAACGGATGAGTACGAACTATCGTGCGATGAAGTCGACTACCCGCTGCTTCTACAGTGCATCTTTTTGGATGGCGCCATAGATCTATGTGCTTTATATGACCCTCGTGCTATCGCCGAACTTCAAATCGTGGCACTCTTCAATCACCTCGGCCAGGTGATTAAACAGCTCCAATACCCCAGCCGGAATGGCACCCTCGTTAGCGAGATATCCTTGGACGGTCCTTGGGATGTTCAACAGGCTCTCTTCTGGAATTGTAGAGAAACTCCCGAGATCGTCGATTCCTGTCTCCATGTCTTGATTGCGAAACAAGCTGAGGTCCAACCACATATACTCGCTATCGATGCATGGGATGGAAAGCTTACTTATTCTGAACTGGAATTTGCAGCAAATCGATTAGCTCACCACCTTACTGGCGCAGGTGTTGTGATCGAATCTCTTGTTCATGTTTGCTTTGAAAAGTCTATCTGGTACTATGTCGCTATCCTGGCAGTTAACAAGGCAGGTGGTGCTTGGGTGCCTTTAGACCCTTCACATCCAATTGAGCGCCAGCAGCAAGTTGTTCAGCAGACAGCGGCCAGGCTGGCTTTGGCTTCGCCAACAAATTCTAGAATGTGCGCAAGCCTTGGCTTAGTCGTGGTCACGATTGATGAGACGTTTGACAAAGCTCTAAGAGACGAGGTACCAGTCAACGTATCACTTCTGCCAAACCCTACCCTTTCTTCTCGTAATGCAGCTTTCGTGATTTTCACTTCTGGAAGTACTGGTACTCCCCAGGGTTTCGTGATAGAGCACCAGTCCCTTTGCACGAGTCAGAAGGCTGTGTGCAAAAGAATGAAAATGACATCAGATGTCAGGATGCTCCACTTCGCATCACACGTATTCGATGCTTCAATTTGCGAATCCCTTTTCCCCTTGATGCTCGGTGCTTGCGTTTGTGTGCCTTCTGATTATGATCGCATCAATGCGCTTCCTGGATTTATACGCGATAAAAACATCACGTGGGCTTCGCTTATTCCCTCCTTTCTTCGAACGCTGAAGCCTTACCAAGTCCCTGGCTTACAAGCACTAATCGTAGGCGGAGAAGCACTAAGCCGTGACTTACTCGAGGTCTGGTGCGGACGACTCAGGTTGATCAACGTGTGGGGACCAGCCGAGTGTTGCCCGATCAGCTCCGTGCACGAGTGGTCATTCGCAAAAGAGTCAACGTTGACTATTGGACGATCCAGCTGAAGCTGCCAGCTGAATCGTCAATCCTCAGGATCATTACCAAATTTCTCCAATAGGGTGTGTAGGCGAAGTGGTCATTCAAGGGCCAACCCTTCTTCGTGAGTATCTTGCCAACAACCAAAAAACCAAGGAAACTGTCATAACTTCACTGCCCGAATGGATGCCTCGACGAACTCAACCAGACTGGAGCCGATGCTACAAAAGCGGGGGCTTGGCCTTTTACAATCCAGCCGGGACGATGGAATTTGCTGGCCGGAAAGATACTCAGGTCAAAATTCGGGGCCTTCGTGTGGAGCTAGGAGAAATCGAGTATAACATCAAGCTAGCTATGGACGTCTAGCAGGTAGCTGTCGATGTTTACAGATCAGAAGTCGGAATAAGTTTGGTATCCTATTTATGCTTCAGTCAGGAATCTAAGATATCCTTTCAGGGACGGAGTAATGCGGATGCAGATATCTTCCTACCTCTAGACAACGCACTACGAAGCCAAATTGGGACCTTGGTTGAGCACTTGAAAACCAAGCTCCCTAGCTATATGGTACCAACAATTTTCATACCGTGTCGCTATATGCTCTTCATAACATCAACAAAGCTCGATCGTAATAGACTTCGACAGCTGACCACCACGCTGTTAAGCTCAGACGACATAGCAGAATACTCCTTGGTTGACTCAAATAAAACACGACCCGAAACGGATACAGAGAAAAGTCTTCAGAAAATCTGGGCCTCAGTCCTTGGCATAGATGCAAACTCCATCGGCCGAGATGATAGCTTCTTACAGATTGGTGGAGATTCGATTCATGCAATCCAACTTGTCTCCCTGGCTCGCCGACATAGCATCGGGCTTACTGTGGCTTCAATTCTTAAAGATCCCCGTTTGTCTCGCGTAGCAACCAGTGCCATAGTGGTCGACGCGAGTGCTCAAATGCCATTGGCATCTTTCAGTCTAGTCTCGAATGATCAGATCAGCGATTTGATCAAACAAGCTCGTGAGCAATGCAATTTATCAAGTACCCAGATTATCGAAGATGCTTTCCCTTGCACACCCTTACAAGAAGGCCTCATGACGCTGGCCATTTCGAGACCGGGGTCCTACATGGCTAGATTTGCTTTGTACCCACCACATGGCTTAGGGCTATCGGAGTTTTTATCGGCTTTGGAAGCTACTGTCCAAAGGTGTCCCATCTTGCGGACTCGGATCATCCTAACCGCGAATGGAACTTCTCAGGTAGTGCTGAACGATAAAATCAGATGGCTATCAGCACAGGAACGCCCGCTCACCGAAATTGTCAGATTGGTTCCGCCTGCCGTAGCCTATGGAACACCACTCTCGTTTTTCACGCTGGCTGAGGATGAAGACCGCGGCGCATGTGTAGTCTGGAATATTCACCACACCCTTTACGATGGCTTTGCTTTTCGTCAGATGGTTCGAGTGATTCAGAACGCTTGCGGAATCTCAGGAAATATCGCCAACCCCATTCCTCTGAGCAACTATGTCAAGTTTGTACAGTCCTGCGACCCGGCCGAGACTAGGAGTTACTGGGAATCCCAGCTTGAGGGAGCCCAAGCCACCATCTTCCCGCCAAAATCCATTACATCTTCTGATCTACAGTCTGGTGATTATCTGACCCATCTCTTCCACATTCCAGATCATCAAGCTACCGATATCACTATATGCACCCTTCTGCGAAGTGCTTGGGCACTTGTTGTCTCGAGACATGTTGAGAGCACTGACGTAGTGCTTGCATGCACTATCTCTGGACGGAGCGCTCCTGTTTCTGATATACAAAATATCGCGGGACCAACGATCGCGACGGTCCCAGTGCGAGTCCAAATAAAGCACGAGGACACAGTCAGCGAGTTTTTGGCGATGGTGCGGCAGCAGTCAAACGACATGATACGATATGAACATACTGGTCTCCAGAACATTAGAAGGTTGCAAGAAACAGCTCGGGAAGCCTGCACTTTCAGGAGCCAGCTCATTATTCAACCGGGCGAGATATTTCGCGCCGCAAATACTCCCGACTTAGGCTATGATTTCGTTAAAGATCTATCAGACGTCAGCCAGCAGTTCGATGCCTATCCACTGGTATTCCAATGCGTTCTAGGAAGCAACGGGATGGTTGAGGTCCATGCTCTTTATGATGGCCAAATCGTTGCTCCTCGACAGATGCAAGCAATCTGTGACCAGTTCGAACATGTTGTTTTGCAGCTGGTAACTGAGCCAAAGAGGCGAGTTTCGGAAATCGACCTATGTGGCCCACGAGATATAGAGCAGATCATGGAATGGAACTCCCAGAAGCCCTCTCGACTTGTGTATTCCTGCGTCCATGATCTCATCAGTGACCAGGCACGACTCCTAGGTGAGAAAGTGGCCATTCAAGCTTGGGATGGTCAGTTTACCTACAGCGAACTAGATAAACTATCCACTCGATTGGCGGTTTACTTGGCTACTCTTGGCGTATATCCTGAAAATATGGTTGCGATGTGCCTCGAGAAATCCCGGTGGGCTGTTATTGCTATGCTAGGCATTATGAAGGCCGGTGGAGTCTTCGTTCCTCTGGATCCGACACACCCAGAAAGCCGCCGTCGAGCTTTGATAGAGACCGTGAACGCAAAACTTATCATACTCTCACCAGAGACAGCTCCGCTTTTCTCAGAATTGGAATTACCTGTGGTTACCGTCACGGAACAATTCGCTTTAGCACTTCCAGATGCAATGCCACCCAGGAGTAACAGTCCAAGTAATGCGGCTTATATCGCATTCTCTTCAGGATCAACGGGAACCCCAAAAGGCATTGTGGTAGAGCAGGCCGCGCTTTGCTCTAGCATTATCGGTCACGGTGGAGCCTACGGACTGGGTCCTGCATCTCGAATGCTTCAATTTTCCACCTTCACCTTTGACGGAAGCTTGAGTGAGATCCTTACGCCCCTTGTATTTGGCGGTACAGTGTGCATGCCGTCAGACACACAACGCTTACAGGATACCGCCAAATTTATCAGAGACGCCCAAGTGAATGTAGCCATATTGACGCCTTCTTTTGCTAATACATTGAGTCCCGATGACGTGCCCAGCCTTAATACGCTTATTCTTAGCGGTGAAGTGCTGGTTAAAGACCAAGTACCCTACGGGTTTTTTTTTTACAGACACTGTCTGTATTTCCTACAGATATTATCTGTAAACAGGCCTTTTAGACGGATTTTCTGTCTGTATTTTAGTCAATTATCTGTATTTTTCTCAGCTGGATTTTCTGATTCTAATTGATTTTTGGAGATGTAGAGTAAGAATATAGATATTACCTGTTATTTTTTAGGAAATATAGTTATTATCTGTATTTTAAGAGTTTTCTGACTAATAAAGTTAATTTCTCCCCTCTTATTTCCTCCCCCCCTTTTCCTTCTCTCCCCTTATCCTTCTCTCCCCTTTTCCTACTCTCTCTCTCTCCCTCTAAAGTCTCCCTCCAAGGTAGGTCTCTCTCTAAGGTAAGTCTCCTTTTAAGGTAGGTCTCCTTCCCTCCCTCCTAAGGTAGGTCTCTCTCCCTCCCTCCTAAAGTAAGTCTCCCTCCCTCTCTTTTAAAGTAGGTCTCTTTTCCGAGTGTTCCGGAGGTAGGTAGTAAAAGGTCTATATTTAACTTTGTATTAAAACATGAAAGGTCCGAGTTACCTAAGCTTATACCTTTAATACACGTTAAATTGTCTGTGCTTTTTAATGCGTCTATTACAGATATTATCTGCACTTTTTTGATAAAATTGTAGTAGACATTATCTGCATTTTATCTGCATTTTACTGCATTTTACTGCATTTCACTACTACTAGGAATACAGATAAAATACAAACAATTTACAGACGTTGTCTGTATGAAAAACCCCGTAGGGCTTACTCGCTTTCTTGTAAAAAGAGAGGATGATTGAGATACTCTGAAGATTCGCAAAGCTAAGGCACCATCGCTGCGGTTCCTATCGCTAAGAATGAAGGAAAAACTTGAAAGCGTATTTACAGATTAAATGACTGTTGATCGCGATGCAAGAGCTGAAAGTCCAGTTCGGCTCGATGCCAAAAACAAAATAGACCTCATGAGAATAAATTGGATACTGAGTGAAATTGAGTTCGATGAGGTTATCGTAGTGACGCGAGCCAATGAACTTTACTTACTAGCTAGATAGTCAAAGCATGCAGAAGATAGCACAATGAATTGGTGAATGTGTTGTTGAACATCAAAGGATGTGGTTGATCACTTGAAGCTTCTACTAGGCAGCTTGGTGAGATTCACTTTCGGCGTTTTTCAGCCCGATCATGTGACTGCCTGTTGGTTGGCGGCTCTTCCAAGCTAAGCCTTAGCGTGGAGGGGTGGAAGAGAAGGCTGGGAACAACGCCTTCAGCGAGATCAACTTCAACAACTTCTCCAACAAAGCAATACTACCCACGAGACGACCTTTCGCACCAGCACGGGCTGTACACAAGCATACGAAAAGGCAAATCCCATCTATCGCCGCAGAAGGAAGGTCACCTATTCTGAAGTCAAGCCGCAAGTATGGCTCCTACTATCGACGAGCTCGACGCGACGGTCCGGGCTTTTTACGAAGGCCGTGGAGAATCGGTCAGTATATTCAAAAACAACGGATCTAGAGCTGAGTTTTGGTTGCATTTACTGACGCGTCAGGATTACAGCAAAAAGCTGCGCAAGCTGCACTGAACCAGGTATGCCCCGCCTTTGTGTTGACAACCCGCCCATATGTATACTGCTAACACATGACAACAGTTCAAGGAAGACCCCGATGCATGGCTATTAGTCGACAAAATCTTGCAAGATGCTACATATCCTCAAACTAAATGTCAGTGCCCTCTATACCTAGATGCGCTTCTCGGGTGTAGCTGACAAATAATCTAGACTTGGGTTTGCAAGTACTCGACAACGTTATTCTCACCAGATGGAAGGTCTTACCAAAAGAGCAGTGTCAAGGCGAGTCGCATATGTCACACTGGGCTACTTGTTATGCTGACTTTCTCCAGGAATCCGCAACTTTGTGGTGAATTTTATCATTCAGTCCTCTAGCTCCGAAGAATCTCTGAAGACACAGCGAACTCTTCTCAACAAACTCAATCTCGTCCTCGTTTCCATCCTCAAACAAGAATGGCCTCACAACTGGCCCACATTCATCAACGAAATCATATCTGCGTGCCATACAAGTTTGTCGATATGCGAGAACAATATGGCTATTCTGCGGCTGCTATCAGAGGAAGTCTTCGACTTCTCGGCGGACCAGATGACATCGGCGAAGACCAAGAATTTGAAGACCGTGATGTGCGCAGAATTCTCCTCCATTTTCCAGCTATGCAACGAAGTCTTGAACAGCGCCACCCAGACAAGTCTAATCAAGGCTACACTTGAAACCCTCCTCCGATTCTTCAACTGGATTCCACTTGGATACATCTTCGAGACCCCGATTATCGATACCTTACGGACGAGATTCCTTGAGATGCCCGAGTTTCGGAATGTCACATTGAAGTGCTTGACAGAGATTGGTGGACTTCAGACAGGGCAAAACAACGCCTATGACGAGAAGCTGGTCCAGATGTTCACCGAAGTTTTGACAACCATCTCCAAGATCATTCCATTGTCTCTGGACCTGAAAACTACGTACAATTCTAGCAACTCAAAGGACCAGGAATTCATCCAAAATCTTGCCCTGTTCCTGACCAACTTCTTCAGTGTCCATCTCAATGTATGTGCTCCCATACTTACATCTGAAAATTACTAACACTTCAATAGCTGATCGAGAATCTCCCAAATCGCGACTTCCTTACCCACGCTCACTTCTATCTTATCCGAATCTCACAAATCGAGGACCGAGAGATCTTCAAGATCTGCCTGGAATACTGGACGAAGCTTGTTCAGGAGCTCTACGATGAGATGCAGTCGCTTCCACTTACCGATGTAAACCCACTGGTCAATATGGGCGTCGGTGGGCTGACGAATCCTGGTGCACCAAACCCTAGTCTTTTGGCCAACTACCCGCTTCGGAAACACAAGTACAACGAAGTTCTCTCAAATCTAAGAGTGGTGATGATTGAAAAGATGGTCAGACCCGAGGAAGTGCTGATTGTTGAGAACGAGGAAGGAGAAATCGTGAGAGAATTTGTGAAGGAAAGTGATACCATTCAACTCTACAAGACCACTAGAGAGTGTCTTGTTTACCTCACCCATTTGGACGTTGTCGACACAGAGAATATCATGACTGATAAGCTCGCTCGACAAGTCGACGGTACGGAATGGTCATGGGCCAACTGCAATACTTTATGCTGGGCTATTGGGTCCATCTCGCTCGCCATGAACGAAGAGACCGAGAAGCGATTCCTCGTTACTGTCATCAAAGACCTTCTTGGCCTTACCGAGATGAAGCGAGGCAAGGACAACAAGGCAGTTGTGGCCAGTAATATAATGTACATCGTTGGCCAGTATCCCCGATTTCTCAAGGCACACTGGAAGTTCTTGAAGACAGTTGTGAACAAATTGTTCGAGTTCATGCACGAGTCTCACGAGGGCGTGCAGGATATGGCATGCGATACCTTTATCAAGATTGCGAGACAGTGCAAGCGTCATTTTGTTGCTTTGCAGCCTGGAGAAAGTGAACCATTTATTGAGGAAATTGTTCGCACAATGCGCAAGATCACTTGCGATCTCTCGCCTCAACAAGTTCACACATTCTACGAGGCTTGTGGATATATGATTGCTGCACAACCACAAAAGAATGCTCAGGAGAGACTAATTTCTGAGCTCATGTCATATCCTAATGCCGCTTGGGATGCTATCATCAGTCAAGCCACCGCCAATCCATCGATTCTGCAAGATGCAGATACGATTAAAGTAATTGGTAATGTTATGAAGACGAATGTTTCGGCCTGCATGTCTATTGGAAGCTATTTCTATCCTCAGATCGGAAGAATCTATCTTGATATGCTTTCCATGTACCGAGCTACGAGTGGAATGATCTCCGAGGCAGTTGCACGAGATGGTGAGCCTCTGCGTTCCGTTATTTACAAGCGCGTACTAACATGTCGCAGGTGAAATTGCGACGAAGATGCCGCGAGTACGAGGATTGCGAACGATCAAGAAAGAGATCTTGAAGCTTATCGAGACTTATGTTGAGAAGGCCGATGACCTTGAGATGGTGCGAACGAACATCGTACCAGCTCTCCTCGATGCCGTTCTCGTTGATTACAACCGAAATGTCCCCAACGCCCGTGACGCTGAAGTACTCAAGGTCATGTCCGTCATTATCACCAAGCTTTCTGTACGTTGGACCCCCCACCGCTCAAGATTCTCAGTAGTGCATCCCTTCCCTTCACGATGTTTACCCTTCATTTCTAAACCAATTTATGAAGAATATACTGACTTTCCAAGGCCCTCATGGAGGATCAAGTACCGAATATCATGGAGAATGTCTTCGAGTGCACTTTAGAGATGATCAATAAGGACTTTTCGGAATTCCCCGAGCACAGGGTCGAGTTTTTCACTCTCCTTCGTGCCATCAATCTACACTGCTTCCCTGGTATGTGGACCCATATCAGTCATCGTTTATACCTACTAACTCTATGAAAGCTCTTCTCAAGCTTGACAATAGACAATTCAAATTTGTTATCGACTCTTGCATGTGGGCCAGCAAGCACGACAACCGCGAAGTCGAATATGCTGGTCTCAACATGTGCCTCGAATTGATAACCAACATCGCCGAGACCGATTCTGGAACCTCAAATGCGTTCTTCCAGCAATTCTTCGTACCGATTCTGCAAGATGTGTTCTTTGTTCTCACTGACACGGATCACAAAGCGGGATTCAAGTCACAGTCGATGTTGCTCTCTCGCATGTTCTACTTTGTCCACCCAGCTGATGGCACACCACCTAAGATTCAAGGACCGATTTACCAACCCGACCAGGCCCCTGCTGGAACATCCAACAAGGAGTTCTTGGGTGGCTTTGTCGCCAACTTGCTCCAGGGTGCTTTCCCCAATCTCCAAGCGTACGTTTACAATCCTTCATCAGAAAAGAAAGCCAACTGACATTACGCAGAGTCCAAATTAAAGCATTCGTTGAAGGCTTGTTCACACTCAACAATGCATACGATAGATTCAAACTCAATCTCCGTGATTTCTTGATTCAATTGAAGGAATTCGCAGGAGACAACACTGAGCTCTTCGCCGACGAGAAGGAGCAATCGGAGAGGGATGCTAAGGCGGCTGAGCGTGAGCGCCTGTCGAAGGTCGGCGGCCTGCTCAAGCCTGCTGAGCTTGCCGAAGATGACGATGAGTTGTGACTGGAAGAAGAGCTGAGGCTGGATTACGCACAGGTTGAGGTGGCAACACAGAGTTCCAGGTCTACCGAAACTCGTATCTATCGCCCCAAAGCAATCAACGAACTGGATGGTTGGGCTATGTACGATCTTTGACTCTGGCCCCACCTGTTTGCCAGCAATCGCTGCCTCGCTCTCTGGATAACTGGTTTTCGATTTTCATCTCTGCTCCCTCTAAATATACCATGCTCAGGGTTTTCATGCCCAAGCGGAGTACGGCTGCGGGAAACCTGGGGATTCTGTGTGTCTAAAAAGCGGCTTTCTATCAGATTCGATTCTCTTTCGTCGCGAGGCGACGGCTATGCATTTTGCGAGAGACTTATGATACCTCTCCCTTTTGGAGGAACGCGTATGGATGAGCATAAGGATGATATACGGGTGGGCTTATGAGACACGAAATGGTGGAAACTGTTCTTTGTAGAACCGGTAGGAATTGAGGCAGAAAACAATCAAGATATGAAATGAACGTGATAGAATACATGATTGTGATTCGTTTCGAGAAGGCAACTCTCTCCAGTTGCATATTCCTTTTCTTTTCGATGGAACGAGCGTCAGTCATTAGTATGGTCGCTTCCTACCTGTAAACAGAACTGTGGAATTGCCCCGGGCACTGTGGAGTCTGGAGACTTTCCAACAGTGCTCTGTGCTCCACAGAACATGCCAAGCCACTGCGCGCTGATCCTCGTAGCCTCACAGCACAACGATGCTGATTGACGAATGGCCGTCGAATTATGAACAACGTGCTCTTCAGAGAACAACTGATATTCTTCGGTGTTGCCGCCAGGTTCGATACCATCGATTTAATAGCGTCAGGCAGGCATCACAAGCAGCTACTCGATTGACGTTAGCCTTGCAGCTGGAAGCTCAGGGATTCTCATTCCTCCGCGTCACGATTTGGATCATGTCAACATACAATGAACGCCGAGAAGTGCTCTCGGGTGCGCAAGAAAGCCATGCAAAAGCCAGGATTTTGAAGTAAAATTTACTACAAAAGCGGCAAAACTCGATGTGTCTATTCGTTCAAAAGGCTGACTTTCAAAGGTGCATTCTCATTTGACTCCCAGGCCGGTCGAAACTGTCAACTCAGCAGATTCAGCACCCTTCTGGAAGCACGCCAGACGGGATGCTGCATATGTGCCTCTTTCCCGTCAGGGATAGCTTTCAGGGACCATGTGTGGATGATTGGCTTGCAAAGGAAGCTGTCCCACGAAGCAAGATTATCCTTCTTAACCCCGCGCCAATCTGCACATCAAAGATAGCTTCCCTACCCATTCCATCCCGTCGTCATCCAAGCCAAGTGGGCATACCATAAATAAAGTCATGTCTCTCCCCGCTGGACTCAACTGTTCATCAAAGGCCCCGAGTCGCGCCTCGCCTTCAAACTCTTCAGAATGTTTTTCCTCCGGGCTGGTTTTGCTGCCGGCCTCGCTTCAACTGCTCTGGCCATTGTCAACCAGACAAACTGCAATGGGAGAACGTATATTTATGAGGAGCTTGCTGGATATGGCACTGTCCCTAGTAATGCTCGGGATGAGTTTGGAGATACTTTGAACTTTGGTTCTGCTCTTGCTCTTGATAGGTCTCAATGGAAGAAGCTCTCCAATGGAAGTTACACTGGAGTTCTGTGGGGTCTTCCTGACAGAGGATGGTCAGTAATCTGTTCCGTGAGAAGGCTCCGAAAATTTGAAAAGCTTCTCCAAATTGGAATTTCATGTTCCCAAAAAGAACATTGGCTGATAGATGTGTCAATTTCAGGAACACTCAAGGAACGTTGAACTTCCAACCTAGAGTACACAAGTTCGATATCTTGTTTACCCCAAACCCAAAAGCTACCGTAGAGAATCCATCCGCCAAAAATCTCTTCTTCACATATAAGGAAACAATTCGTTTCTATGGTCCGGATGGAACTCCATGTACAGGGCTAGATGGAGATGCTACTGGACATCTGAGTTACCCTGGGTTTCCTGATCTCCCAGTTGCAACCTACACGGTGAGCATCTAAAGCGAGAAACCATTGGTCCGCCGTGCTGACTTTTCCAGGGAGATGGATTTGGTGGCCCAGGTCCAGGAGGCAAACGCATTCCAGTCGACTCTGAAGGCATCGTTCTGAATGACGATGGAAGCTTTTGGATCAGCGAAGAGTACGGGCCATATGTGTATCGATTCGACGCTTCTGGTCGGATGGTTACTGCGATTCGACCTCCAAATGCCATCATTCCGATGAGAAATGGAACGGAGTCTTTCTCTGCTGATTCTCCTGCCTTCGTGAGTGACGTGCAGCCTCCAAGCTTCTCTCATAACTCCTGATCGGTCGGGAGCTCCAAGTACACGTTTAAACGTATTGCTAACACCATGAACAGTACGAGGGAGATAACCCCGAGGAAATAATTCCTTCTGATGGACCCACCGGGCGTAATAACAACCACGGATTCGAAGGCCTCACGGTATCCGGAGATGGCAAGAACCTCTACGTTCTCCTTCAAGCAGCGACAAACCAAGAAGGAGGAGTCGCATCTCAAACAGAACGCTACACGCGACTCCTCAAATACGACATTACTGTCCCTTCAAAGCCTCGCTACGCCAGGGAATTCGTTGTTCCGCTACCGTTATACGTGGACCCAACTGCAAAGCCATCTAAGAACCCAAAAGTTGCAGCTCAATCGGAGTTGTTCCACATTCAGAATGGACAATTCTTCATCCTCGCCCGGGACGGTGGATTTGGTCATGGACAAGATGTGTCTCTTTCAAACTACCGCCAGATTGATATCTTTGACATCAACTCTGCAACAGATATCAAGGGCAACACTTATGACTGCACCAACTGTTCCGTTGCGTCCGAAAAGGGTATTTTGAAGCCTGGGATTACGCCTGCTACGTACTGCCCCTTCATCGACATGAACCTGAACTCGCAGCTCAACCGCTTCGGTGCTCACAACGGAGGAGAACAGGATGCGGATCTTCTGAACGAGAAGTGGGAGAGCATTGGCATTGTGCCTGTGGATGGGCTGATTGGAGATGATGATGAGTGGTTTGTTTTTAGTCTCAGTGACAACGACTTTATCACACAGGATGGATATATGAATGGTGGTGCGTTCCAGTATGCAGACGAGAGTGGATTCAATCTGGAGAACCAGGCTCTGGTGTTTAAGATCAAGCTGCCTAATCATTCAAGGCCTTTCAATCGTGATTGATGTTACAATAGATAGCTAGGACACATTAGACTACTCGTGGTACGAAATATATACTTAAGTGTTAATTGTGTAATATACTTTGAATGTGATAGTTAAAGCTAGATAGTACTGCCTAGAATCAAACGGGCTATTTAGAATAGGAAAAAAACTAGAAGCTGTCGGGCTTTCTGAGGGGGTGGAGGATACTTACATTTTTCTATATTTGTTTTTGACTATTTTCTTTCTGTATAGATTAGAGTTCTTCTGCTCTCTTGGAGAATTGTCTTGTTTTTTCCTCTGTTTTCTTTCTATTTTTTTTCTCCCTTTTTTTCTCTCTTCTTTCTCTTTCTGTTCAAATCGGACTTGGGATTTTGTCTTTTTTTCTGAGTCGTATTCACAATGGTGAGAGCTCGTATTTAATTCTTCTTGCCTTCTCATATATCTACATGCTGTACGCAGTCCATAGAGTTATGTGGCTGGCGTTATGTTTTCTCTCGCTAAGCGCCTTTGGGTGATGTGAGGGCATTCCGAGACCCAGTCAATCACAGTAGTTGGGATGAGGCGAAAGCGAGCCCCGATGTCGCGGAGGTGAGTGACTCAGCTGGGACTGGGTGGGTTTGGGATTCTCATGTGGAGGAATATTGCTTCTATATCTCATAATCTTAAATGCAGGTCGAAGCTAAAGAATAAGGATTCAGACCGCTTTGTTTACTTTCCATTCCTAAGCCCGAAGATGGCCAAGAATACCAATTCAGTGAAGCCCTCATACATTTCAGGAAGGCATCCACTAGTGCCAAAGTATCTCTACAAAGCTTGGGTTGTCCGTAACGAAAATTAGTAGTTTGCGTCCTTGTGCTGCTACGGCCGAGGCAAGCATCAAGACTTGACGGAGTACTTCACAAAGCAGGATGAGAGCAACCTAGCAGTTCAGCTCCTGGCACGCTGGAGAGGCAGAATGCCACCCACTTATCGAGAGCCATTCGAATGGGCTCCGAAGTCACATCGTGCGGGCGTCCAAAAGGAATCCTTGTAGGTTTTAATTCTGTTTGGTTCGATGGCTACCACTACCTGAGAGTAATCAACTGCTTTTCGCACCACTGAAAATACTAAACTCCATCTCGATCTCAATCTCGGTAATCCTTCGCCGTTGCATAAAGTAACACCCGAAGCCCCAAACACCTACGAAATTTCCGAAACGAAATTTCCGCGAACCTCCTCCCTGTGAGAGAGCAAAAGGGTATGAAAAATGAGCAACTCCTAACGCTACGCTCGAAGCCAGTCGTACAAAAGAAACCCAGGATCTTGACCTGGAAACAACAATCAATCAAGAAACACCAAGAAATGTCAAATCAGTCTCAATACCTGCTCAGTTATGGCTCAGTCCCATCTGTCCACCTGGGCCATATCCTGCATTCATGCCTCTGTCACCCTCTGCCATCTTCTTTGCCATTTGTCTCTCCGCCCACTCTCGGCTTGCTTGCCTGCCCCTCTCAGCAGCCTCTTCCCTTGCACGTTTGGCAGCAGCCTCTCTGTCTCTCTTCTCTTTGTCCATCTCCTCCGTAAGTCGAGCATCACGGTTGTAAATCTCCTTGGCGCGCTTTCGAAGGTCTGAATCGGTAACGGATACGGCTCGCTGAACAGGGCGAGGAGCAGCAGCGACGCCGGACATGTTTGGCGATGGCTTACGGACAGGCGGAATGAAGGCGCCCTTTGCACGAGGAGCTGACATATTTGCGAGGTTGAGCGCTGCCATAGATGGACGGTGGGCACCCACGTTGGAGCCTCTCTTTGAGACAGATAATTTACCATCTTCAAAACTGTCGATACCAACTTTGCTCTGTCTTGCTCGGCTGGCAACTGTTTCTCGTGGAACCATGTTTGGAGCAACGCTATTACGAACTGGCCTGGCTTTGAACTCTCGGCGCTTACGTTCTTCCTCCTCCTGAGCTTTCAGGCGTGCTTCATGCGCTGCTTTCTTTCTCCGGGACAGCTCTTCTCCAGGAAGCTCAAAGGTTGGTTTAGTAGGTGGTTTATTTGATTTGATCTTGGGACCGGAAACTGCACGAAGAGCCGTGTGAAAGCTCTCCTCGCTAGATTGTCGCTGGGCAAGTCGTGCTTCCCTCTGCTCCTTCAGCTTCGCCGCCACCGCTTCTCCTGGAAGTTCAAAGGTTGAGCGTGTTGGCGGCTTGGTTGATTTTATCGTCTCCTTTGGCGGAAGAAGGCTGATGGGGCGCTTGACCGTCGCCTTCGCAGTGGCCTGGACCTTTGCCTGGTCGGTTGCCGATCTTGGATTGCTGGTCGCGGGTTTGAAGTTCATTGATGCCGCCTTCTTGAGCGTCGGGGTTTGCTTCGGTGCTGATTTGACCCGTACAGTAGCATATCCAGTTTTAGAGGGCTGTGTCTTCACCGGTGCCTGCTTTTCGATGACTTTAACACTTGCTTGTTTTCCCATCTTGTGGCCCTCGAGGAAACCATAAGGCATTCGCGCCTTCTGTCTAGACTTCTCTGGTGACACCATTCTTTCCGCCAGTGTTGCCTGGTTCAGAGCCTCTAGAGCCTCTTCGAGTTGGTCAAGAGCTTCAACAGAATCTTCGATTCGTGAAACGGGTTTTGCTGGCGATCGACAAGTAATCTGTTGCACAAAGGAGTCATCGCCTGCCTCATCGTTTTGCACTGCTTCCTCCACCGTGCCGTACATTATTTCCACCTCTTCAAGTGTCTTGGCTGGTGATCCGGCTGGAGTGTGACTGCTTTTGCTCTTTTGTGCCGTCGATTCCCTAATTGTATCGGCATTTGCAGTCGAATCGAAACCTGTGCCATCAGTGGCATCGTTATTAATCCCGTGGTGAGATCTTGACCAAACTTCCTTCGCTAAAGATACAATTGCATTAGTTTTGTATCCATAAGATAGATCCCGACTAGATGCAGAACACTTCCTTGTCCGATTCAAACCTGTACCGCCAAAGAGGGTAATGAAATCGATATCCCGAAGCTTCTGCGAAACGACGGAACAGTCGCGGGAGCCAACCAAATCTGATAAATTGTACGAATACTGACCTGCTTGTGCCTTCGCGGATTGGTGTCGAGTGTTTCGCGTGGCTGGCTGAGGAGCCATAATCTGAGGATTTTCGGAAGAAGGCGCGATTTCTAGATTCAGATCAGACTGAAATCATCAAGATGTTGAATTGATGCTTCCATACCTTTGCAACTTGGGAGCAATGGGGTGTCTGTCTGTAGGACAGGGCTAACCAGAGCCAAATCTCCCGATCCCTGCTCTTCTACCAGCGTAGCCTCCGAATCATTCTGCTTGTCCTTTCTCTTGTTGCCCCTGGTGCTTCTCTTAAGCTTCTTTCCCGCCCCTAATGCGCTCTTGTATGCGGCCTTGAGACCCTTGACTTCTGCCGCCGCTGCATCATCATCCATCGTCGTCGTAATTGTATTTGTTGCCATGAGGATGTCTGCTTCCAGAAGCGCTCCGGGTTGCTTCGCAGGCGTGATTGGCAATGGGGTTTGCGATGCAAGAGCAGTGTCGTCTTCTGCAATGACAAATTTACGAGATCTGGTCACTCGAGCCATGTTGGACGACGGAGAATGCAACGATCGATGGCTTGGAATTTGGTTGCCGCACCCTGGTCTCGGGTTTCGCTTTGGGACGCGATGTGCAAGGTTGTTATGAGGTGGAGGAAAGTGTGATATGCGACGAGCCACGTAGAGATGTATGAGGTGCGATGTGATGCAGATGCAGATGCGATTGACAATCGGAATAGTCAGTGCACTTATCGATTGTAAGAGTGCGAGGGATAGACCTTGCGCGAGGTTTCTTATTGAGCTTTCCTTATGATGTGAAACATTTGTTTAGGCTGATCACCATGGCAACTGTCATGCGCGAAGTACCGGTATTTAGCCGAGTGAGACTGCAACAGTATGGGCGACTCGCGACGCGTGAGTTTCGTGACGGAAGAGACGAATGCTTCGCTGGGGGCCTTTCAAGGTGTCCGTCCGAGACTGATCAGGACGTGAATTATGTGCAGAGTGGGATAAAGGGTACGAGATCAGGTTGCAATTACAAATACGTTGCGATCATAATCCTAATGGCCAGCAGCTACTCGGGGGTATAAAACGCGGTTCTTCACAGCCGCTTCACAGACCAAACTCCAGGACAGAAGTCCTCCATAGTGCCATAGATGTCCAGGACTGTTCCGAATCCTTTATGTGATACCTTTTATCCCTCGCTCATGATCCTGCCATTATCCCATAGATAATCATTATTCGTTGCGCTCCGTAAACGTCACTCCCCGTTCCCACCCGAACTGGCCTGTTGAAGCATAGGGGCATGCTCTGTAGGTATTCGCACGAGAGTCTGAGGCAAAGGGCTTTCGGCATCAGCTTTCTTTTGGGATTCCTCTGCCTCTGTATCTTCAGATTCCTTTGGCTTTGGAAGTTTCACTACCATCACAGTTAGTGGGGAGGTTCAACTAGTTGGGGACGGAGACTTGCTTGATGCCATACTGATTGCACGAAGGACATTGTGCCAGTTACCTAATACCGTAGCAACAGCTGAGACGAATCAATAAGCTTCCCTTACCAGACTTTGCGGGTATACAGTACCTTCTGTGCCATCAGATAGCGTAGACAACTTCTCTTCCAGCATTTGCATTTGACCAGCCAAGCCAGCACTGAGATCCCGCAATTGCTTCAGGTTCTCTAGCTCTGCCTTCTTTTCATTTATTCGGGCAAGGAGAATGGGCGATTGGCCCGTCGAGGCAGAGTTGCCAGATGTGGAAGCTTGTCGCAAATGCGAAGGGAGGGGCCGGGTGGAGTAGGACATGTTCCCTTTACGTCTCGTGCAAGTAGGATATAGATTATGGTGCTTTATTATCGTGATTTCTTCCACTTCCAGGTAATGGAGCGTTAGGCTTCGTGCTTTGAGAATATGGTGGTTCAGTAGTTGTAAGGTTACTGTTACCTGCAGTGCGCCTCTCCTCCAGGAACCTCGGGCGCCAAGGCCATCCCACTTTACATGCATGGATCCCTAGCTCGTGGCCGCATTACACTAACCGCTTCAAGCATCAATGTCAACAAGGAAATTGCGACCCGGAAATCTTTGTTGTCAACACTCGTCACAACGAAAACAAATTCGATTTTGCTGCGATTTGCTGTCCTTTTCTCAAGTGGCTCACAGTTCGAACTCCTACAGCTGAACATTTATCCACACCATCGCCACAACCTGCCGCATGCCCAGTATAGATGGCTCGACTGAATGAGCCCGCGGCGGCGCCGACAGAAACGATAGAATCTCGTAAGCTCAGCCCTTCAATACCTGGGCATAACGCAATTTACTGATATGTTGCATAGTTAAACGCAAGTTTATGCGCCAGAATCGGGACATAGCTCGAGCTAATTCGACTCAATCACTACGAATTCGAAATCTCGAGAACGAAACCTCTAGGCTACTGGCAGAAAACTTGGGGCTCCGGGGACAAATACTGCAACTGCAGGGAGAGCTTGAAAATGGAAGATCCCAGCGTATAGCTCAACATACCGGTGTTTTAAAGTCACAATTGGAGGCGAAACTTCTCGAAATAGGCGCATTACTTTCTGGGATTGGAGAAGTGCCTTCTCCGCAACGGAAATCTCGGCAGAGTGGGAGAATCTCACGAACCAGTCCGACCACGAGTCTGGATCATAAGAACTGGAAGAATATTTGCAGTCTGAGTGAAGCAGTTGCGGGTGGGGAGGGAAGATTGCCTCCTATTCTGGAGAATAAGTCTTACCCCAGACGAACTTTAGAGTATACTATACCACGATTCCTCTATGCGATGCAAGCTTACAGTATGATAGGCATCAAGAAATCGTGAATCTAGTAGCGAATACTGAGACCGATATTACTGACTCTCCCGAGATTGGACCACCACCCGTATCACAGTTTGTGGATGAAGACCCGGTTAAGATTGACCTACCACTACGGACCAAGAAGGAGGATAGCGAAGAAAATACTGACTTAGATCCTGCGCTTTCAATCAATCTTGAGCAAAGAAGAAAGCGTAAAGAGAGTACAAGCGTGGAACCGAGGCGAATGGGGAAACCAGAATCAACACCTGACATTGGGGAAGCATCTGGACCACTGAAGACTGGAGCGAAGAGGAAACTTAACGTCCGTGATGATGAAGAACCCATCTCCAGCCGAAACCGGCCCAGCTCTCCAGATGACTTCAAGTACACTCGTGTGACCAACGATGACAAGTCAAAGAACAAAACCCTTGCCAAAACTGAAAAAGTTAGCAATAGGTCGACTAGAGAGCTCGCTATTGCTAGGGGTGCCCCTCGAGATAAAGTAACTGCCATTTCTAATAGGAAGATTCTGGCGCCAAAAAGTGTGAACGACTCGCCCCGGAAAAAAGTTTTGGCCACCGATGAGACCAAAGTAAACAAATCGGACCATAGGAAGCTAGAATCTTTAAAGGACAGAGCAAGGGAGAAGAAGCGGGAGAAGGTTTGCGCTCAACCCTCGCCTGATCCTGTTCTCGATACCATCGAAATCCAACCTGAGCCGGAAACTCCAGCAGCAATAGCCGATTTCTCACCAGAGTCATCACAACCACCATCGACAGCCAGGGTTGAGTCAAGGGATACACCTCCTCCCTCTGATCTGGGAACTAGTGGTGAGGCCCAGCGACCGAGCCGTCGAGCTCGTGGAAGTGTCAGCTATGCCGAGCCTAGTCTTCGGGATAAGATGCGTAGACCAACTAAGGATCTAGTCGATGCGGTTGTACCAGGGCAAAAGTCTCGCAGCATTATGAAGCAGGAGGAACCAAATACAGTCACATTGACCATAAAAGCAGAACCGGAAGCTGATGACGCATGGAAATCTATGCCAGCTGCTTCTTCGGCCACGGTCGAGAATAGTCCATTGAGAAACAAGAACCCAGGACTCGAATTGCTGCCTAGCAGTATAACAACTCACAGAAAACGACGAGAATCTATTCTGAACCAGACAGAGCCAGACGCCTCCCAAACAACTTCAGGTAGTGCGATAGCGGCACTTCTTGCAGAGACTAGGAGAGTGAAAGCTGCAGCGAGAGAGAAAGAGAAGACGTCAGACAAGGAAGCAGTGCTGACGAAGAGCATGGCCAATCTAGACATTTACGAGTTTAGAGGCTCCTCTCCTTCTTCAGCAGCAGCACCGCAATTGATGACCAGAGAGGATAAAGCACCAATACGTGTTTCTAGAAGACACTCCACCTTGTCTCGAGACCATCCGCAACAGAGCGATAGCGAGGCTTCGGATATGGAAGCAACCAAAAGATCTGACAGTGCCACATCTCGTCGAAGGCAGTCAACTCTGGGGTTGAGGGCCTCTTCATCGGATATGGCGACCATGAAGGAGCGCGAGGAGGACAGGTCGCTGAAGAGGTCTTCCAGCACCAATGGCATGGTTGATCCAGGAGTTGGTGCTTCTAGAAGTGACAGGATTTCGGCACGAAGGAGGAGCATGATGTTATGAACGACCGCCATGACTTTTTGAGAATTTTCCTATCGTTGTTGGTGTTGGATAAGCGATTATGTCTGTATACTTTTTGGGGCGCTGGGAGTTGTTTAGTAAAGGGATGGTGTTCTCTGTGGATTACGGCAATCATATGATACCAATAGAGTATTCTACTCTACTAATCGACCGCCATGTTGAACGCCGTGAATGTGATGTAGCTCAAAGTACTATCACCTCTCCGCGACAGGCTCGCGAACGCTGCTCCTTGTACTCCAATACTACCATTTGGAACCATTTTGATCCCGATTATTCCCATGGCCCACTTCATGACGAGCCTGTAGCATTCCACCTACAGGTACCCAGCATCATGATCCTCCTACAACCTTGGTATATGTAATCTTTTCCACGTTCACACTCTCAACCCCGTTAGAGTCCTTCCTCAGCTGGTAAACGTAGAGTGTCAGACCAATTCCTTGCACCTGTATTCTCAACGTCAGCATTCATCCGCCCAAAACTCTCACAACACTCCAGCCCCGAGACTTACATCCATCAAGCAAAAACTAGGTACTATCTCCTCCCCATCTCCTACCCACCCTGTGCTAAAAGCACCTGTCGCACTGCCTGGGTTCACGAAGAACTTATTTTCAAACTCAAATGCATCAAATCTATGTGTTCCACCCCAGCAGAGCACATCTACATCCAGCTTATTCGCCTCTGCGAGCATGAGGTCTGTTTCCATAGGCGCAACCATCGTGAAGCCCTCGAGAAAGCCAATTCGCAGTGAACCGTGTGTTACAACCTGCGAGAGCGGCAGCGATGTGGCTTCAGCATCGAAGCGGCCTTTAACAATTTTGAGGTCGGGGGAAATGGAACGTAGGTATTCGTAGGTGGGCTTGTCGGTGAGGTTGCCTAAGCAGAGTGTTTGACCAATCTTGCCAGGCGTGAGAAGCTTCTTGAACTAGAATTGACCGTGAGCTACAATTCTGGGGCGAGAAAATGAGGGACAGATAGAAAGTACCTTTGGAGGTATGTCGATTGCTCTGTCTGGGATGTGTAGGTCTCCAATGACGAGGACGAGGCGGGAGGTCATAATTGCGGCGGGGTGCTTATTGAGGGGTTGAGCAGGGTTAAGTTGACTCTGCGAGCTTCTTGTGGCCTTCAGGTATCTGAGAATGTAGTGGATAGCTTATCGTTCGTCAATGGTGGGGTTGTGGAAGCTCCGGCGCAAAACGTGTTGTTGAACTGACCATGACGAGTAAGGACGGGAAGTTCCCACTGAGCTTCACCAAGCTTCATAATCACGTGCTTAGTACTATTGTTTTGAATGACTCTGTTTCTGCGCTCTGAGGGTGGATAAATTTGATGTCAAAAGTTGATATTGCTCAAAATTTCTTGAATTCAAAGGAAAGATCTAGATATTCTAATGTGTTCAGATTTGCTTCTGTCGTGTTGATATCACCAACCAAGTCGACGGCGAGCTCACGCCACAGCTCATTGAACTCAAGGAGGAAGTGATCACTCAGAGTTCTGACATCGAAGCTGTCCTCGGTAATTTGATCTGATTGCATAACACTTCTTGTAGCTTTGAAGCCCAAGATCCATTCGAGCACAGTGTCCTAGGTCAAGCACACACAGAACACTCTGTCCTTTTCTTAAAGTCATCTGGCTAGTCCAAATCATGGCCACGATATGGTAGCGTAAGATCATCTTGTTCCAAAGCTGCCTGGTCATTCTCAACATCGGAAAATGACAGAATTCCATGCTATCGTATTTAGCAGGGGGCTTTCAAAGAGCCCAGCCTCGACTAGAACTGCCAGCTGACGACTTCCATCCAGCATGAGCATTCGACAGGGGAGCAATATTAGAATGTAGTCTGATTCTGAAGGCCTTAGCCTCGATCCCTGGATTTCTAGAAACATTGAACTTGCAAGCAACGACAAGATGAAGTTGGCAGAAACTACTGGGCTCACTTTAGGATATGTTGTACCAAAAACCCCATTTGTGTTGAATGCAGCTTCGAGAGAAAGGATAATGGATGTAGCAAACAAGAAGATAGAAGAGAAGGTTCAGGCGATGGCAGAAGTTACCAAAACAGTTATCTGTTCAGTAAGACTTTATTAGGTGTTCACTTGCCCACTTCAACTTCCGATATTCAGCCCCCTGTATACCTTCCAGTTGTATCACTTGATCGAAGACACAAAGAAACTGGCAGGATTTTATAGCAGCATCCATCAGACCTCCACGCGTAACAGAACATATCGACAGTCCCACCACCTCACTCCAGCGGCCACCAACGGCTCCCAAGTGTTCGGCCACCATGCAACTCGAGACTAATGGACCCTGGTTTTGTACTCTGTAGCTTCCGTGCCGATATCCATTAGGTTCTAATTGCACAGCACCGGATATGCTCTCCCCTGTATCACATACCGACAGTAACACAGCTTCGCGTCCGCAAAGACACGTGAAGTAAACAACCTGCTGTATCCGTATGCCGTACAACGTCATTTCGGTACCGATTGCTTGTCTTATATCAGCAATGGTTTATTGATTTCATTTTCACTTCGCTCGAAGCAGGACGATGCCTGTGAACCCAATGCTGCCTGGACGTGAGCTGGCATCAACACAGATTCAACATAGAGATGCCGCGCAAACACCGTGATTGACACCCATTGATAAGTGAAAATAGCAGCTTGCTCCACATTCCTGGTATATATGCCATACAACAAGTCCATATGCCGTGAATACCGAAATGGCTTGCTTGACGGAAGTAAGGAGTATCCGCTTACGTGTTGCCCTCCAGTGGAATAGAAGTTATGCAAGCACCCGCCCGCTTACCTACCTCAAAACAGAGTGACCCCCAACTCCTTGTGCTCACGTGAATCAAGGATCAATAGTTGCATTCCTGCTGTAGCACTGACTGTGACATAGAAGCACCATTCCTTGATTGCTTACCTGCATCGGAGAAAGACGCTTTGCAGGAGAACATTCCTTGGATCGGAAGATGCTGGACGACGAAACACATGACATTTGCCATTGTAACTGTGCCCAACTGGTAAGAGGCCGCGTTTGCATTCATTTCTGCAGCCACCTCACGTGGAGATGATGAGATATGTGAATATATGTCTCAGAATTTGTACAGGGGCTTCTGCAGAGAGATGTTCTGGAACAATCGACTTTTGGTGCTCTCTGTCTTACGCGGCGGGTCGACGACCCGAGAAGCCAGGGCAATAGGCAACAATAGTGGCTTCAAATACCAGACATGTGCGGCGAAAAGCAGAAATGGTTTGTGTTGCAGAGTGCAGATGGTCTGTGGCTCGGCACTTGCCTTCGGGCATTTTCATTACCCATGGATGACTTTTGCTTTTGCTACTTCAGGACAAAGCAAGCCTTTGAGACAAGAATGTCTGATGAGAAAGAGAGACAGTGCTCATGCCAAAGCGGAGATTCCAACACCGGAAGCATCTCCGAAAGAGATCACGAAGAACTAAAGAAGCAAAGAAACTGTTCTGCCCGGTCTCGGGAACTGACCAACAAAGCATGGACCCCGATTTTTAAGCTTCCGGCTCATCGAACAAGGCCTTGCAGCTTCCTTGTGTACTGTATTGTCTCAGCATGGACTGCTACGGTACGCCATAATCGTACCTGTCTGAAAATGATGCAATCACCTTGAGCCACACCCACAAGGCTCACGAACCGATCGCTCTGCCATGAACAAAAGAAAATAAGGCACATTGAAATGAATACGGAACACGGAACACGATCCCAGCCTAGGACTCGTGTGTCACCACATAGCTGTCAGCATTGCTATTGAGGCTAGGAACACACCACCTACTGGGTCGCCGAGCCCCAAGCAAGATGAGAAACAATAAACCGGGCGTAACCGTGAGCGTAACCGTTTCTGGAGCCTCGTACCTGAGCCACCAGCAGCTGCAGAACAAAGGCAAAAGGAAAGGATGGAAAATTTTACCAGAAACTCTACCTACCTTAGCCGGACCGAACACATGTCTCAGATCGCCGCAGAGATCCGAAAACTCGATTCCGATCTCGCCAGGACAGGCAAGACGAGTTAACAGGCGTTACTACTGTACTGTATGCTCCTCACTGAGAAGGTTTGGAGACATCGTTTTGAAGGCGGCAAGGCCGAGCCGCATCTCCTTCGATGGCGCTGGCCAGACTGTGGCCGACGCCCTGCCAATCGTTCAAACTTTTTCTGCCCTGACCCAACAACACACACCCTTTTATCCAACCAAGCGACAATCCATCTCTACAGTAGGAAAAGACCCGGCTAGAACATCTCGATCTTATTCGCTGAGAACGAAGTGAAACGAGAAATTTTTCTTTCCAGGATACACTTGACCGGGGGAATGGATCGGGCGTTCCCGCACCCGCCAGGAACAACAAAGGACCAGGTAATTGAAATTGGGAATTCATGCTGACCTGTAACCGAACAAGATTTTCTCCTTGTATGGGACGGAAATAGCAGAGTCAGAAGCCAGGACATGAAAAGATAGGTTGAACAGGAGAATTTAGCTAGTTGCCCAGACCGGGTCGGGCCAGCCAGCCCTACGCCCAGGGCCCACCCCAGCTCAATCCCAGTATGGAAGAACATCCCGTCTTCCCCAGACAAGCGAATGAGAAAATTTTCATCAACAACTTTTTGATAAACAGACACGCGAATTGGAATGTGCAGTACAGTCATACATACCTAGGCAGGGCAAACTTGCCAATACCCCCAAACACAAGCTCTGTACCACTACGCTATTCACAAGTTCCAAATACGTGTGAAGCCACGATCCAATACTCTGGTTGCGTCTCCCCACCGCAAATGGATCCCCTTGGATCCATCTAACGGACAGCTTCATTCCTTACCTTGTTGGCCCCATACCCACACCTGTGTACCTGTGCTTGTGCCTGGCCCCATATCCCGCCAGCCGGGAGGAAAGGGAAGGATGTCAAGGTTTCGGTTCAGGTACCGTACCATACGTGCGTTGAACGAGGCCATGTCTGGTCCGATGAGCTGATTGCTGAGCTGAGCTCAGAGCCTGATCTGATATGCTCTGCTATGACTGTACTGTGCTCGAAACTGTTAGCAGAGCGTTTCATGCAGGCCAGTGAAAATTTTCACTTCGGCACAGTGCTGTATGGTTTGGGGGTCAGGCTAAACCAGAAAGCGAATTGATTCAATTTGTCGTCTGTTAAGATGCCTGCCGCACTTGAAGGTGAGTCAATCTGGTATCCCTCGATCTTACATAATGAAATGCGGTTGGCAGCTCCTGTTCAGGCCTGATGGAATTGATTGATTGCCACCTGGATGGCAAGGCTCAAGTGCTTCTAAGGCAGGGAAAGGAGATATATCCGGGTTTCCAGAGGTAAAAAGACAAGAAGAACCGAAGCAAGGCAGAAATATATAGCAGTGGGCATGAATGCATAAACTCGAGGAACCACTCGGTTCAATAGGATGTGAAGGATTCAGGGTGCTGAAACAAATGAAAAGCATAGCACACTACCGAGAGTAAATAAAGCAATAACAAGAAGTATATACCGAAAGATAAGGTTACCACAACAACTCGCAGTACGTAAATGAGAACTGTGAAACCATAGACGCCCGGGTATTCTATTCGTTGAACAAGGGACGAGATTATTAAGCTCATTTCCATGTCTTGATAATTGGTAATGACCAACGAAGGAGGATGCTTTACCAAAGTTCGAAATCCACGGAAGCGCTGTATGGCACGGCACTCCCGCGTCGATCAATCTATCTGTTAAGTGCTTGCTTGCTTACTTGCGCAATACCGACATGATGCCCAAACCTTCTTCCTTCGCTCACTACCCTGCCCTTACCAACATCAAAAAAAACCCACAAAAAGACGTGCTTTGCAGTTTCGCAATTTTGCAGCATTCTTCCTTGCCCCGGCTACAGGTACAGCACAGCGCTTATGATGACATAGAATTGGAGCTGAGATCACATTCCAGCAGCATGACGATGACGCCACTCTCCAATACCAAAAAAAAACCAGAAACACCACAGTGGATCTCACAAAACCATAACGGTATTCCCAGAAAATAATAAGTTCGCTGTGGAGACAAGAATGTCTGCAGCGTTGTGGATTCTGTGGGTACAGTATTGTGGATGGAGGCAGGCATCACCCCCGTTGAAACCAGTTCAATGTGGAGACGAGTGTGTTGTTGCTTTTTTGTGGGGTAGAAAACTTCACTTTCCTCTTGGTAATCCAAGTTCCAAGTTTCTAGTTGGTGAGAAGTTTGGCACCTCTCGGAACTCTCTCTCTCACATATTACCAAGAGAAGCGTGATTTCTTGATACGCTGGCGTGTACGCAAGGTCTTGTAACCATCTGGGTACCTGGATACGCAAGAGAAGGTTAACAGCACGTGTTATGAGGGAGAGGTCCATGTAGGTATCACCTCATTATTCCCTCGTAACCAATAATATAATGCGCTCAAAGTCCGCACTGTACTGTCGAGTTTCGGGTACGATAGCTGCGCACTTTAATTTACCTGCGAATACCCCGCAAGGTTACCCAGCATACATGAGTGTGCACGATGATGAAATCGTGACCGGCAATTACTTAATTATAACCTCATACCAAGCACGCACTTAACATCACAAGCTCATCCATACGATACGATACGAAACCAACTGCTGTCTGGTACACGATACGTAAATGTACCTACGGACTCCCGGATGCAAGTAGTAGTTGGTATTGCGTGACCAAAGAGTCACCCCTTTCCAGGCCTTTCCAGGAGCGAAATGGTGCCATTCATCCATCACGAGATACCTACCCCAAACCACCAAAGTTACGTATCCCAACCACGAGATCACCAACATGAACTAACTACCTACCTGACTCAAGCCCCCCATCCTCCATCCTCCATCCTCCATCCTCCATCGCCTTTCCCCCAGAAATTAGTTCGCTCACTACCCCACGAAATTACCAAACCACTAAGTAAGTAAGATCGCCACCCCTTCTCCAGATCCTTCCCTTCGCCTTCGCCTTGCCCGAGAACAGAAAAGTTCCATTCGCTCGCTCCCTCCCGCTCGTACTGGATGGAGTTCGATGGAGGCCTTCCAATGGTTCTAGCGAGGGGAAAATCTCTTTCCCTTCTCAGCCCGTAGCCGCGCTTTCCCCAGGAAAAATTTTCTGCTGGAAAAAATGGGATGAGACGGGAGGGAATAATAGAGGGGGCGCCGGAGATAGGTGTGCTGCGCTGGGCTATGAGGAGACGAAAATTTGATTATTGAGAGAGGCGAGTTTCCTCGTGGCGGAGGTGAGGGACAACAGGGGAGAACATTGATGCGAGTGGAGAAAGGATCGTCAGCTGTTGGTGTGATTCGTTAGAGAAATCGGATCTCCGGGCTCTACCTAGTTTGAAGTGTGAGATGTGATGCTTACTCAAGTACCTAGCTGTTGTCGTCGATAGTCCCTAGGTAGTACTCGAGGTACTGTAGCGTGCCCCTCAATTGGGAGCGCTCCTCGTTTGCGTGCTGTGCAAAGGGATGACGATGAATCGATGCAGAAATGGTGCAATTGAACTCAATCCACCCTCTCCTTCCCTTCCCTTCATCCATCACAGCAAGTAGTACGAGTAGCAGGAGCAGTAAATTAGAAGCCCACGAAAGTCCAGACCATAAAATGACGACCGCCAACAAAGGTACATACATAAACCTTCCTCACGATGACAACAAAGGCGTTTCATCGACCCCTCTAGAAGACAAATTTACAGGAGCCAAAATCCCAAAAGCCCTTTAACTTTTTCATCTAGCGTGCGGTAACTTACAGCACACATACAGTACGAGTACAGGACGGAGGAAATCAGCTTTGACTTCCCGACCTTGCCTTAACCTCTCGACCTGCATGCGAGCATCGAGTCCAAAATAGCCTGTGAGATGAGAGCTTGCCTTGGGGTGGTCTAACCGCCCAGGCGTAACTGGAAGGAGGGAGGTGCTGGCGCGACTGATGGGATGCTAAGCGAAGGTTAATAGGTAGGGCCTGCTGGGTGCGGAGGTGTTTTGCAGCTTGCCTTTCCTCGCTCGGACAACGGGACGGAAAGGGAGACAGGTTGGAATGCGCTAGACGAAACGGACGGAGATGGGAGTTTGGGAATGCCGTGGTGGGTTTCTGGGGAGGGGAGGGGAAGCAGGTGATGGTAAGACAGGAGTGAGTGGTGATGAAAGAAGACTCTGGTAGATTAGGTGTTCTGGCAGTAGCGGCTCACGAGTAGAGTGATGATGATGTGATGATAAGTAGTGAGGTTGGAAAGTCTCAGGTCGATCTTCGCAGAGTCGACCCGTTGTGACAATGTCCATTGCTAAAACTAAGTAGTCGAGAAGACTTAACTGTGTCATAATCGACACAGCCAGGAATAGGCTTCCGCTCTAGGGCCATGAAGCCTCTATATCAAACTATCGCTGACAACACTGAAGCTCCATTAGAGCCAGAACAAAATATGCGTGTCATCCAAGCGCCTCCCGATTGATTCCATCCTTCAAAAATATTGCTCCGGTTCCCCTGTGCAGTGCCTTGCAATGATATCCTTATCCTAATCCTATCCTGTCCATGCTGATTCAAATGCCCGAGTAGATTATGATGTGACTGCAAAAGAAAATGTGTATTCGTTGTTGATGAGAAAGTAGCGAATGTTGTGATGGTTGTCCACCCTTGCTCCAATGCTCCAATGCTAGTTGATACAAGGAAATTTTTTGAAAGTGTTGGAAAATGCTCGAAATGTGATGCATGCTGCTCCGTAGAATGCTTTTTTTTTGTTACAAACAACCGATATCGTATAGAACGCCGATCCTTACGAAGGATATGAAAGGAGGTGTGGGTATTTGTATCGTGAGGGGAAATATCGAAGAACGCCGTTGGGTATGCAAAGTATTGGTAAACTGATGTTGTAGAAGTGAAGTTTGTTGTCTAGTTGGACTGCCTCCTCGAGTATCGAGATTGGTCAAAAGAGCTGGCATATGCCCTCAAAGCCTTTCGTGACTCATCAGAAAGTTGAATTGGCTCGGTGGATGTTGACGAGTGAGTGCTCTGCATAGAGAAGAGACTCGATTGGGAGCTCGATGGAGTGAGCGTAGCCTTGGAGACTGTTGGTGATGATTGTGGTCTGGCAGAGTGGGAGAATTGAGAAGTTCGTGGTGATGGGGTGGTGCCGTATGGTTGTGCGTTGTGGAAGTTGTATGCCGGTTCCATGAAGAAGCCATTGCTTGGTTGCCTCACAGCAGACCATGATACGGGAGCTCGTGATGAAGTTGGAGATGAGGCTGGCGAGCCGGCAGTCGAAGCATGCTCGTACTCTGCCAGACGACAGGCTTCAGAGCAGTAGACGTTGCCGTCGGTTTGCCTGTCACAGGCAAGGCAGAATGCTGGTGACCATTCCATATCGAAAGTCATTGTGTTGTTCGTTGGGGTTGTTGAAGGCTGGGAGGACGGATCGAGGAAGCGAAGTTGGAATCTTGAGTATCGAGGAATTGGAAAGGAATTCTTTGACGGTGGGCTCGGGCTTCTTAAAGAAGTTTTCTGAAGTTGTGTCTGAGGTTATTTTGCACAGTTATGTCGTACCCGGCTTCGGTGAGGTAAGGTATGGTGTGACTCAAGATGTGGAGCCTGGTGTGCAGTTTGGGAGCGAGGGTTGATGGATGAACTGTGCGAGGCGGCTATGGCAACAGTGCTGACTGACGACAGAAGCGACTCGGATTGTGCAAAGTGGTGGATGATGTGATGAGCAGACGAAGTGTATGAAGCAGTTGACGACACAGAGATTCACGATGGTATCATCAGGAGCACTCAATGCTTTGAGGAGAGAAGAAGAGAAATTCGAGATTGAGGTGGTAAGGTAGGTAAGGTATGGTATGGTACAGTATGGGTCGAGGGCAGAGGACGAGGGAGGAGGTTGCCCATATACTTTGACCTTGCCTTGCCTTGTCTGGGTGGTCTGACTGGGTTGGCCTGGCTGGTCCTGCAGCACAATGGTGGAGAGGGTGTGCCAGGTGCAGGTGCAGGTGCAGGTGCGATGGCTTTTCTTTGCAAGCTAGGCTATTTGGAGACAAGCGCGGGAGCAGGGGAGGATGTCTTGATTTTGCAGGAGAGAGAGAGAAAGTGGAGCAAGTGAGCACCTTTGCTGCTTTGCAACTTCAGCCAGCGTGCCCGCAGGGGTCCGCACGGAGTGGGGGATGGTGTGGGTGTGGGTGTGGGTGTGGCAGCATCAGATCAGCAGCAGCTTTCGGTGCAGGGATTCGGTGGGCAGACAAGGACAGGGGTTGACATGGTGTGTGGTGTGGTGTGCAGCAGGAGGACAGGCAGACAGGCCAGGGCAAGACAGGCCATCGTGTGGTGCGAGTGCGAGTGCGACGCAGCCAGGCCTGATCCAGCGCGGGGACTGCTGATCATTCTCAAAATTTCAGGTCAGAGGCAGGCAGGCAGGCACGTTTTCAGAGGGCAAAGGGAAAGGGCAGAGGAGAGGAGAGGAGAGGAGAGGAGAGGAGAGGAGAGGAGAGGAGAGGGGTCTCACTAAAACAGCGCCCCTTGTGCTGGACGCTTTTATTTTTATTTTCTCGTAAATTACTCTTCTGTACTGTACAGTACACTATCTCATCTTCTGTACCTCTCTGTCTGTCCTGCTGAGTTCAACAACTAAAGCCATGGCTGGCCAACAAGCGAGGATATGGGCGCTGAAATGCACTACAGTATCTACCTATATAGATACCTACTACCTACGGAGTACACTGCACTCACTACACTGCATTCTCCTTTTACCCCGAGTAGTTGAGTTGAGCACGGAATCGGCGTCCAGCATGTTGTGCTTTGCTACAGCATGCAAAGCCATGCCATGCCATGCCATGCTATCTTATGCTATGCTATGCTATGCTATGTTATGTTCCGTACCCTATGCTTCGCTGTCCTCGCAGAGAAACTTTACACGGGCTTCGCTTGCTTGTCATGGCGTGAGAACGGCACTTGCTGTCCTGAATTATTGGTTTACTTTTACAGCGATGCGCACTGCACGCCAGCCCAAACCAGAGAATTTTCACTTCTCACCACACCACACCACACCACAACAACACAACTTCCCTGTGCTCATCTTCAATCCTTATCTTTATTCCTCGCCAGACTCGCTCTCCATGGCAACATCGCTCATCCGGGCTACGGCGACGGCTAACGCAAGAATATCTCCTGGCTGCCGTGACATGGGCCATAGCCTGTCCTGGTCCTGAAGCCTGTCCTCTCCTGGTAATGTTGGCATGCTGTCTTCTCCACCTTTTCCCTCCTCTTCTGTACATTTGCATGGCCTTTTGTATTCCTTACAGCGGCGACGTGGGATGTTTTGGAAGAGACCAGCCAGCCTGCTTCGGGCGCTCCTGCAACTGCAGGGCTCTGCAGCAGTTCTTCCAGCTTTGGATGGTGCGGGCTCGGTGAGAGGCGTGTCGTTGTTGGAATGCTGCTGGCCTGGGGGAGGAAGGCGTCTTTCTTCACTTGTCCTGAATGGACCGTCCTGCGCTGTTGCAGATGTGGCCTCCAAGACGACCCCAACTTTTGCAAGTATGCAGCCAGGAAATCGAGGAACATCCTAGCAAAAGTTCTCGTGGGCTTGCCCATGTCGTGTTTTTTCACGATCAACCATGGGAACGCCGTGGGATGAGAAGAGTCGTCATTGAATTCCTAGAATTGGCTTGGCTTTCGACTGAACCGGCCCTCTTTGGAAAGGGGCCATGTCAAAAACACCTCATACAGAATTCCAGAACTATCATCCACAACCGCCAAATTCTTCCACTGACAACAGAGCAACGCTCCAGCCGTCAGCCACATACACCAGAGCAGGGCTTCCATTTGCGGGCTATGCTACTGGAGGATCAATTGTCCTCTCCTGTGTAGGCTTGGCCCTGCCATTCCTGCCGTCCCCAACCCTGTGGGAGAGCTGAGACGAATCTGACCTGGACATGCCTTGACCACAGCCTGCCCTGGTTAAAGTGGCAGTAAGAAACAAGAGAAGCAGCTGGCACAGCGCCTTTTCCGCTGTCGACCTGTTAGATCCAGCAGAGTGTCTTGCCTGTGACTGGCCATCAGAACCAGCCTAACCAAATTGCATTTCACCAACAGATGCGACAAGGCTGATTATTGGCTGCGCAGCCTCCTCTATTCCCTGGATTCGCCATCTCATTCTCTTTGTGGATCTGCCTGCATCGACGATGTTATTATTTTCCCCTCACTATGGACGGGCACTACGCAGTGGACACGACTCGGTACTGCCCGCACTATGGCAAGCCGTATTCGTCTCCTCATACTCCAATTGGATTGATCGCCAAAATGTGGCTTCTCGTCGTTCAGTCTAGCTTGCCATGATGCTGGAACAAGACTTACTGGAGTTGCCACTTCAACGCTGTCTTTTTAAGCTAAGACAGCTGCGAAGTTCTGCAGCAAGGACGGGCGACCGGTATGCAGGCACCAGGAAAAGGTGTACCAAATCTTTCTCATACGACAATCGGTCCCTGGGTTTTGGCAGTCATCACACGTGTAAGCTTGAGCATGTTAGACCTCTGAAATTGTCAGCTTGAAGCGCGCGTCTCCAGAGAACCTTGAGGAGGAAGGGATGCAGTGCGTCCTGAGCGTCTCTGATCTCCGTGGTTCGGCTTTCCTTGAGGCCGATCCTGATATGGAAGGCTGCTCAATCATCCAATACTTTTGCCGCCGATTGCTCACTTGACGAGGTTGCCTCGTTGCGGCGCGTTTACCTGATGGAAGCGATCAGACCCCTCTCGTTCCAAATTTCTGCTGTCCTCCCAAGTCAAATTTGACAGCAAGCAACGGCACCGCTGACGACACTCTGTTGACGTCGAAGCATCGAGCCCAACGGCGGCAAAATCAAAAATAGAAGGGAGATGTTTCTACGGAGATTATTGCGATGTGATGTCCCTCATCCTTGACCCTTCCGCATATCAATTATTCTCGCCGAAACTGGGTCCTTTGAAGCAGCATGCCATCTCGAAACATCCACTGCCTGAACAGCACTGGAGTCGTCTTCATGGCTTCACGATTGATGGTGATGTCCGATGCAGAAACAGCTTGTCATTGGTCCATCGCGGACATTGGATATATCTTAGCACTGAACTGCGATTCATGCGACGAAGGCGATCATGAAGTTGAGACCAAAACCTTTCAAATTAAGAACACATCTCGATCAGGTCCTATCGGGTCTGGCAACTGCCTGAACAGCAGGCCGCGTACAGTCCATTCATTGTTATGCAGTTATTTCTACATTACGCAGAAGCATCATTTACAGCTGTAGGTTGCATACAACCGCACCCTCAGTCATGTCCGAGTGAGGCACATCTTGGAGCATGCAGAAAATTTACACAGACCAATAAATTCTCCGTTTATCAGTGGTCCCAATCAGAACTCCTCTACGGCAGTATCCGAACGTTTCGATCTCGAGGCTAAAGTCTATGTTACTCCATCTAGTCCCCAGATCTTTCTTATCAACGTCACTCTATTCGAGGCGGCTATATTAACATGACGCAAAACACCTCACCCAGATAATCAAGCATGCGAGTCTCGATCCACTCCAGGATCCAGCAGATACAGTACAACTGCGTGGGGGTGTCTACTTCACTAACGCGAGATGTAAGTTTACAAGGGCCTGCACGAGTAATGTCACGAGCTGTTTCCAACGTCAATATCCGGTTGGTATCAATCCGCTCTATCAAAGAATTCATGGCGCACAGTATGGAACCTCACGCCATAGTCAGGAGGAAATGAGCTTCGGTAGCATGACTCGGTGCTAAAGACTTCATAAGATTGCCATGAGGTTCCAGTCATTGTCAACCCTCGGCCATACCGGAGTCGTCTTCTGACCACGGAAAGCTGAGCACGCCTCAGCTCGTATCAGACAAGAAATACAGTCAGTCTATGTCGCAAGTCACATTATTATTGACTACCAGGCGCTGTAAAGGGGGTCTTGTGAAACGGAGGTCAGCCTGCCATCAGCACTATCGCCTAGGAATTTATCTCCTCCTGGCTTCTCATTCTTGCTGACACCAACTGTGGCTTATCTAGTCAGTGCACGCGACAACCTTTGAGACCAGATTAAGCTCTAGGGACATGAAGCAATCCATCCTATCTTGCATCTCATAGGTAAACTTGCAAAATCCCCCTGCCATGCCCCTGCCCTCTCCCGTGTATGGAGAGGCAATCTCACGATCGAGACTACCCACTGGTGTAGCTTTCTTGGACTGGACGGGCCGCATGAGGGTCTCTACTGTAGCTCAATTTAGCTTGAACCCTAAAAGGAGGGCCTGGGTTGTTTCCTTGTCCGCTCGGTGGCCCAGGCTGAAGGAAGCTTGGTCTTCCATTATTCCATATTCGTTTTGCGCGGCAAGCGCTCACAAAATCCAAACAAC